CCCTGTGCTGCTGGGGACCAGTGGGTCGTTTCCTATGCATAAACTAGAGACCCCGTGCATGGAATTCGTGCAAGGGGCTTGGCCCTCGCAGCCACGGTGGCTGCCCTGCCCTTGAAACCCCAGCTTAGTCCGGAAAGACGTCCAGAAGGTCGTTCAGCTGTCTGGTCTAATTAGCATATTACCCTTCTATTATTATAGGTAGTGTGGGGACAAAGTGGGGAGAGCGGTGGCCTGTGAATGGGAGTATCATTTATGCACCATTTAATACATTTTTACTGAGCCAGGCACTCTCCTGGATCCCAGGGATAAAACAGGGAGCAAAATGGACAAGAAATCCTTCCCCACACGTGGCCTATGAACTAGTGAGAAAAGAGAAACAAGACACAAATAAGCGAATAGTATGACCTTGTCACACGGTGCTGAGTGCTTTGGGAGGTAAGGAAGCTGAGGAGGCTGGGAGCAGTTGTGTTGCTATTGTGTGGTCAGAGTGGTCAGGGGAGGGCTCTGGGAAGGTAAACGTTGTGTTCTTTTAGTTTTTTTAAATATATATTTTATTGATTTTTCACAGAGAGGAAGGGAGAGGAATAAAGAGTCAGAAAAATCGATGAGAAAGAAACATCGATCAGCTCCCTCCTGCACACCCCCTACTGGGGATGTGCACACAACCAAGGTACATGCTCTTGACCGGAATCAAACCCAGGACCCTTGAGTCCGCAGGGCTGATGCTCTATCCACTGAGCCAAACTGGTCAGGGCGGCTAAATAGTTTTATTGGTGAGTAAAAGTTTGAGCAGAGGCTGAGGAAGTGAGCGATGACACATGTGGGCATGAGAGATTTTTCTAGCAGGCAGAGACCAGGCTCCTGGCCTGGATCTTAGACCAGTAGTACTGTATGACGCAGATCTCTCCACGTCTCTAAGCCTCAGTTATCTAATCTGGGCAATGGGGATAAGGATAGATCTGAATGCCTGTGAAGGGCGTGGCCCCGGCCTGGCGCTAAGGAGACTCCTTAGACTGCCAATGATGATGGCCCTCCGGACAGCTGGGGAATAGCCACACACAACGCCCCTCCTGAGCGGCTGCTCCCAGCCAGCCCCTTACTCTGCTCTGGGAACCAGAGAGAGCGAAGATGAAGCCTGGGTGGAGCCATTCACTTGGGAAGGGGGTGCCCTCACGGCTGGGTTATTTTCCTAATGAGGACAGTGACGCTTATTGTAAAAAGCAGACCTAACGCAGTGCTTGAAAGCTTCTGGCCACCCTCCCCCAGAGAGAACCACTATTAGAGCTCAGTGTTTATTCTGTTTTATTCATGCATATGCATCTCTTACAGAAGTGGGATCCTACCACACACCCTGTCCTGCTGCACCACTGAGGTCAGACCAGCAGCCCCCGTGTCTGTCGGAAACGCAGGAGGACAGGCCCCACCCGTGACCTGCTGGGTCACAGCCTGGGTCTGATGAGAAGCAAGGTCCCAGGCGATTCCTGTGCGCAGCTCTGTCAGCAATCGCGTGTCTTTCAGCCTAAGAACAGCTAGAGCAGTGGTTCTCAACCGTTCTGACGCCTGGACCCTATCATACAGTTCCTTATGTTGGGTAACCCTGACCATAAAATTATTTTCGTTGCTACTTCATAACTGTAATATTGCTACGGTTTGGCTCAGTGGATAGAGTGTCGGCCTGCGGACTGAAGGGTCCCAGGTTCGATTCTGGTCAAGGGCATGTACCTCGGTTGCGGGCACATCCCCGTTAGGGGGTGTGCAGGAGGCAGTTGATCAATGCTTCTCTCTCATTGATGTTTCTAGCTCTCTATCCCTCTCCCTTCCTCTCTGTAAAAAAAAAAATCAATAAAATATATTTATAAAAAATGAATTGTAATGTAAATATCTGTGTTTTCCGATGGTCTTAGGCGGATATCTGTGGATTCCTGGAGCAGAGTAGGTCTGGGCAGAGGTCCTCAGGAGCAGGTTTATTTCCTGATAAAGATGCTTCTCAAATAGAGGCAAGGAAGAGGCTTCCCACTGTAGCCTCAGCCTTCACTTGGGGATGCACAGAGGTGGGGTCTCTCTTCCCCAAACATATCCCTTCCAGTGGGGGACTTGGCCTGCACTGGGATTCATTAAAACCCGCGTCTGCCCCAAACAGTGTCGCCAGAGCATTCCTATCCACTACCCTGTCTGGTCTTCAAGCAGGCAGCGCAGGGTCATATGCATTCTCCAAAACGCTCCCTCCCTCCCCATGAGTCATTCAAACCACTCATAACAAGTGGGGGGGGGGGGGAGAAAGGCGGTGGGAAACTCCCATGAGTCCGCTAGACACATATTTATTCTTTCCCAAACCGGGATCATAATGTGCATGTAGTTTTGTCACCTATCGTGTTCATGTCACATTGTACTGGGGATGTTTAGCCTTTGGAAACACCATGTCTGATGGCCATATGTTCTTCTTTAAGAAACAGGTGCCATGCCCTGGCCGGTGGCTCAGGTGGTTAGAGCTTCTTTCTTCCCAACACACCGAGGTTGTGGGTTCCGTTCCCACACGGGGCACAGGCAGGAATCAACCAATGAATCCATAAATAGGTGGAACAACAAATCAGTGTTTCTCTCTCTCTTCCTCTCTCTCAAATAAATAAAAATTTGAAGAAGAAGAAAAAAAGCAGACACCACGGTTTATTTAGCTGTTCTCCTAATGCTGATTATTTTCCAGACAGCCGTTGTAAATGATGCTCCTGTGAGTGACCAGCTGCTTTAAGAACTCCCCTTTCTATGATTCCTTTTGGCTGGATTCCTCCGAGTCACCAGGCAGAGGGCAGAACACCTTCGCGTCCTGATGGAGAATTTGCCAATTGCTTTCCAGAAAGCAGGAAACACGGAGCCAGCGCTGCCTTCCCTCCTTCTTCCTTCACCAGCACGAGCATTGTTCTCCGTCTCTCCCCCTCCCCCCTTGGCAATTTGCTAGACTCCCTTGGTGCCAGGTGCCAGGGCTAAGCATTATGTAATACCCCCACCCCCACCCCGGAGTGGGAGCATCCATTTTATGGGGAAGAAGCGGCCCAGGGAGGACGCCCCCAATGGCAGGGTCGCCTGGGCGCGGGCAGTGAGCCCGCATCCAAGCCCGGATTTCTCCAGCGCGAGCCCCACAGGTGTCCGCGCTGGGCCCTGGTGGGAAGCCCGGCGACCCCCGCCCCCCCACCGTCTCTCCTCTCCTCTCCCCGCCGGTGCAGGCTTTTCTGATCCGAGAGGATGCAATGATGCGACGCCCTTCCTGGCCCTCCCGGCCTGCAGGGATAAACCCACCCCTCAGGCCACCTGCAAAGCCCCAGCCTCCAGCGGCCCCTTCACCCCATGGCGCTGGCCTCCGACCCCGCCCGGCCCGTGCTCTCCGCGTCCCTAAGTGCAGGGAGTTAGGCGCCTGTGCCCCCTCCCGCCCTGCCCGCGGGGCGGCCCTGAGCCTAGGCATCACCTGCCACCTGGCCCAGGATGGCTAGACACGCGGTCTCCCCCTGAACCGCGGGGTCCGCCCGGTCTGCGCGCCCCCAGCGCACCGCGCCCGCCGCAGACCCGCGCTCCGGCGCGCGAGCGGGGACAGGGACCGCTTCGGAGTAACCGCGGGGTGATGGCTCCGTGACTCGTCTGGGGACAGAGTCGGAGAGAATCCCTCCCGGGAGGGCCGTTCCGGGGTCAGGATGCGTTTTTATCAGGAAACGCAGCCCTCCGCGCCCGCTCCCGGGTCAGCGCCTCCAGAGCGCCGGAGCTGGCTGGAGAGCGGGCTCCTGCCCTCCCTCCCCCGCGGCCCGGCGCCCCGCTCCGGGCTCCCGAACGCCCAGCGGCGGCCGCAGCCCCCGCCCCTCCCGGCCCCGCGCGGGGCCCCGGATCGCGGGGCCGCGGCGGCCGCAGGGAGGTCGGTTGGGGACGGCGCTCCTCGAAGTCGCCCGCGATGTCCTTCCCGGACCACAGACCCCTCCTCCGGGCGACAGGCGGGCCCGGGGCTCAGAGCCGCCCTTTCCGGGTGCGGAGGACGCGGGCCGGGGGGTCCGCGCCGCCCGGGGCCCCCCCACAGCCCCGGGTCCCGCCCGCCCGCCCCCGGGCGCCAGGTGAGCGGCGCCGCCCGCAGAGTGACCGGCGCGCCGGGCTGCCGCTCGCGACGCTGCCCGCGGCGCCGGGGCCTCCGGGCCTCCAGGGGGCGCTGCCGGGCGCTGCCCGCTGCCCGCCCTCCGAGCCGGCAGGCCGGGGTGGACCAGCGGGAGCCCGGGAGCCGGGATCCGAGCCCGCCCGGCCCGCGCGCGGCCCGCCCTGCCCCCGGGGAGGCGCGGCGGCGGGAGGCGGTGCGGAGGGACCGTGCGGGTCCCGCGGCCAGAGCCGCGCGGGGAGCCAGGTGCGCGGGCCGCGGCCGGCAGCGGGCAGCGGGCACGGGCGGAAGTCTTGGGGGGACACCGATAAGGAGGTGCGGCTGCAGGCGGAGGGGCCCGGGCGGTGCTGTAACGTTGCCCGCCGCTTCTGCAGAGGGAGGGATAGCGGAATGGGGGGGTGGGGAGGCCTTGCTCCTACTTTGTTCCGGGCGCGAGGGCAAGGCTGAGGCCGGTGCGGGAGGTGCTGCTCTTACCGACCGAGAGGCGCTAGGGAGCGGGTGGGAGTGTCAGGGGGGCTGAGGGGGGATCTTGGGGGGGATGGGGGGGTAAGAAGGGGGGCCTCCGTGGAGAAAGGCCGCAGGGGGTGGTGTATTGGGGTCAGACGCTCCCCCTGGACCCTGAGAGCTGGAGAGATGCAGGACGGGTTGGGCCTTTGAATTGGGGGCAGCTGGCAGGATTTGGGGGGCCTTGGCGGGAGGGTGGTTGGCTCCTGCTGTTGGGAGAATTGGGGGCGTGATGATGGGGGGGCAGCAAATGGGCAGTAAAGCTCATCTGGCAGTCCTGGTATGTGAGGGCGGGTGGGGCGGGTGACATGGACGGAGGAGAGCTGGCCGGGCAGTGGGGAGCCCAGACGCCCCCCCTTCCTCCCCAGCCACCATGTTCAGCCAGCTCCAGCAGCAGCAGCAGCAGTTGCTGCAGCTCCAGCAGCTGCTCCAGCAGCCCCCTCCGCAGCCCCCGCTGCCCATGGCCGTGAGCAGGTGAGTCCCCGGGAGGGGGGCGGCTCTGGTCCTGCTCCTCGGACCCGGGCCTTGGAGACCCCTTCCCAGCCCTTCCTCCCAGAGACCTGCCTGCTGGAGGCCTGCAGGCTGTCCCTTCCCATCCCAAGGGGCAGAGGACGGAGGGGAGGGTCTCTGGAAAGAGGCTCCTCCGGTCCCGCTCTGAGCCCCGCCCTCCACACGCAGGGGGCTCCCCCAGCAGCAGCCACAGCAGCAGCTTCTGAACCTCCAGGGCCCCAACGCCGCCTCCCTCCTCAACGGCTCCGTGCTGCTCCAGAGAGCTCTGCTTCTGCAGCAGCTGCAAGGTATGGACGGCCACAGGCCCCTCACACTGCGGCTAAGTGCCAGCTTCCCAGCAAACCCAGGTCTTCCCGGGGCCCCCAGGTCTCACCTGGCCCACAGAGTAACCCTGACAGGGAGCATCCTAGTTTGCAGAGGGGACACCCAGGCTCCAGGGGGTACAAGTTGCTCAGCCGCAGGCTGTCTCTCTGGCCACACACATGTGTGCCCTCGGCCATGGTGCCGGCTCCGTGGACAGCAGGCAGCACATTCCGCTGGCATTCGGAGTACGTGAGATGCCAGATGGGAAGAGCTGTCTGACCAGCCTCCTCGGCTTCCCATGTGGCCGGTGAGGAAGCTGAAAGGGCAGAGGAGGGAAGTCCTTTGGCCCGGGTCACACAGCACCCGCAGCGGCTGAGCTAGGCCCAGGCCCGAGCCTCCTGAACCCCTGGATCTCCGAGTGGGTGCTTTCAGCCTGTGCCCTTGCCTCAGTTTCCCCACGTGGAGAGCAGTTTTTGAGCTCTCTGAGATGCTGCTTCTGATACTTCCCAGGACACCCCAGCCCCTTCGGGAGTAATCCGGGGGCCAGTGACCTGGGGCCAGCTCACGCTCAGACCCAGGCCGGCCCGTGGGTCGGTGTGCCTTGCCAGCCTGGACGCTGTGCTGAAGCCTTACAAACCCAGTTCCCTGACTCCGCTAAGGAGAGGCTCACTCATGACCCCGTTTTACAGGCGACACAACAGGCCCAGAGCGGGGCACTGCCCCACGTCACAGGGAGTGGGTGTGGGGAGGGAGAAGCAGAGCCTGGATCTCACCACAGAGCCGGGCGCTGAGACACTAGCCTCTCCTGCCGCCAGCAGGGTTTGCAGCCAGGGCCACTGTGATGGCTTCAGCCCTCCGGCCACCTGCGTGTGATGGTTCTGGGAGCTGGCATGTAAATGCCAGGCAGCCCTGCTGGTGTGGCTAAGCTGCCTGGATGTCATGCCATGCACTGAAGGTTGCTGGTTGGATTCCTGGTCAGGGCACATGCCTGGGTTGCGGGCTCGATTCTCCATGGGGGGTTTTGGTGAGGCAGCTGATCGGTGTTCTCACATTGATGTTCCTCTCTCTCTCTCTTCCTCTTTCTCTTCTCACATCGATGTTTCTCTCTCTCTCTCTCTGTCTCTCTCCCTCCTTTTCCTTCTCCCTTTATCTCTCCCTCTCCCTTTCTCTCTTAAAAAAATCAATTACAAATCTTAAAAAAAAAAAAAAGAAATGACAGAATTGTACACCTGAAATCTATATAATTTTATTAACCAACATCACCCAAATAAATTCTATTTTTAAAAACCAACAACAAAAAGAAAGAAAAAATGACAGGTAGATGAGTGGAGAGAGAAAACCACTCACAGGGACCCACAATAGATAAATATATTTCCCCCACTTTGAAAGTTACACTCTTCAGAGACAGGTGAACAGAATATTTTTTCAAGAGGATAAGGAAACCCAAATTACTGTGTGTCCCTCACTCACCTGCAGCATCAGAGAACCACCTGTTTGGGGTTTGGCTATGTTTCCTCCCATTGTCTTCCGGGGGCAGCCGTGGGGTTTGTGTGTGATTGTGGTTATGGACACAGTGAGAGGCTGCCTCCTGTTTCTTCCTCACTGCAGTGAATGGCGTGATCACGTATCATATAATCTGACTTCTCTGGAAAGATGGTGTTTTAGCAGCTGTTCAATATTCCAACTGGCGGGCGGTGCCCTTGCTTACCTCAATCTTCCCAGCCATTTTTTTTTCTATTTTAAATAACACTGGGATGAATATCCTATTTGAGATTCTTTTTTTTTTTAATATATTTTATTGATTTTGTACAGAGAGGAAGGGAGAAAGATAGAGAGTTAGAAACATCGATGAGAGAGAGTCATCGATCAGCTGCTTCTTGCACACCCCCTACTGGGGATATGCCCGCAACCAAGGTACATGCCCTTGACCGGAATCGAACCCGGGACCCTTCAGTCTCCAAGCCAACACTCTATCCATTGAGCCAAACCGGTCTTGGCTGAGATTATTTTCTTAGAATGGATTCTCAAGAGTAGAATAACTGGGTTGGGGCCGGGGTGGGGTGGGGGATGGGTATTTTATGGCTCTTGATAAGTATTGCCAACTTGCTTTCCTAAAGGACTGGACCAGTTTGCAATGTCACCAGCCACGTATGACAGTATCGGTCTCACCATGCCCACAGCAACACTGGGTATTATATGCTTTTTTATATATATACGTGTATATGCATATACCTTACTAATTTGGTTGGCAAAAAGCTATATTATTGATGTTTCCGTTTACATTTCTTGGAGTGCTAGTGCAGTTTTAACATTTTATAATGGTCTGTTAAGCACTTGTATTTCTTTTTGTGACTTGTCCATGTCCTTTGCCATTTTTTATTTATTTTATTTTATTTATTATTTTATTTTATTTCTTTGCATAATCCCTTCAGTTTTTTCATCCGCCCCCAAAGGGCCTCTCCCCCCCCCCCCCCCCCCCAGCTTTCATTCTGTTCTCTGTATCTATAAGTCTCTTTTTGTCTTGTTTGTTAGCTTATTTTGTTCACTGGATTCCACGTATATGAGTGAAATCATATGCCTTTGTCTTTCTCTGAACGGCCTGTTTCACTTAGCACAATGCCCTCCGTGTCTGTCCACCGTTACAAAGAGAATTTCCTTCTTTTTTACGGCGAGTAGTATTCTGTGTGTAATTTTACCACAGCTTTTTTTTTTTTTCATGATGAGATATAATTTTAACTCAACATCAGCTTTCTTATACACACACATTACAGTTTCGTGACTCTCTGTTTCCATTAAAAAGTTGTACACTTTAACCGCTACCACTTCTCCTCAGGTGATAGAACGTGACAGAGCCTATGAATCTAAAACAAATCAAATGCATCACATCCAATTCCAAAAATGTTGCGTCTCCACAGTTTTTTTTTAGTTTACAAGGAACATAGTTTGTGCCGCGTGTGAGCTCCAGCGAGCATCGCATTCAGCGCTGTGCTCCCGCTGTCTCATCCATCCACCCGCTCCTGACGGCCCCCTGGGCTGCTCCCCGATTTGGCTGTTGTAAGCACTGCTGCAGGAACACGGGGTGCCCATCTCCTTTTAAATGGGTGTTTTGGGTTTCCTCGGATACATACCCAGAAGTAGAATCCCTGGGTCAAACAGGAGTTCCATTTTTGATTTTTTGAGGAAGCTCCATACTGTCCTCCACAGCGGCTGCTCCAGCATTCCCACCAGCAGTGCACGAGGGTTCCCTTTTCTCGGCATCCTCGCCAGCATTTGCTAATTTACTGATGGTAGCCATTCCGGCAGGCTTGAGGGCTTTGCCATTTTAACTTGGGAGTGTGCCATCTATTGTCTCCCTGTAAGAGCTTGTTGGCCTTCTGTTCTCTGTGTACCTGTATTTATTTTAAGTCCATGCTAACTGAACCCTCACTATATGCAACGCACACTTATATATCTCATTGGACCCTCCTAAAAACGGTGAGTCAAGCACTATTACTATCCCCATTTCACAGATGAGGGAACTGAGGCCGAGAAGGGGGAACTGATTTGCTCAGGGTCGCAGAGCTAGGATTGTCGAGCCTGGATTTGAATAAGCTGTCACTGCACATCTGACGCCTGCCCTGCACCCCTGTGCCTTTCCTCCAAGCCTGGGGGCCAGAATTTGAACCGTCTGTTGTGGCTCAGATACTCCCCAAGCACTGGGGTGCTCAGCCTGACGAGGTGTTCCCCAGGTGGGTGGGTGGTGGGCAGTGGGAAGTAGACAAGGCAGTGGTGCAACTGGTCCTAGAACGGGCGAGCTCAAGCCTCTGGGACTGGGAGGCTCTGGCGCAGCCTCCAGAGGAAAACACCTGCAGGGAGACCTGAGGGTAAGTGGGAGGCAGTGGGGGCAGAAGTCCCAGGTGGAAGGAGCAGAGGCCGGAAGAAACCAGGCTTGTTGAGGGGTACACGGGAGCCTATAGCTGGAGTCTAGTGGGGGCACATGTGGGGCGAATAGAAAGAAAGGATGTCAGGGAGGCGGGCAAGGCGGGACCTGGCACGCTGAGCAGCAGGGAGCTGTGGAAGGTTTGGGGGGAGGGGGGTGCGAAGTGAGAATGTGGTTTTAGATCACCCTTTGCTGCTGTCCAGGGCGAAAAGTGGCTGATATGCAGGGATGAAGTGGCTTTGGACGGGCCTGGGAGTGGAGCTAGAGAGGGGAGTCAGGCTGGACTGGAAGAGGGGGAGGGGATAGGGTTGGGGGTTTGGTGGTGGCTTAGTGGGGGATAAAGAGAGGAGGAGTCAGGAGGATCTCCCAGGGACCCTGGGTAAGTCCTCCACTGTGTCTGTGTTATCAGTAGAAACCATATCTGCCCTGCTGATGGCTGGACTAGTGTCTGGGGCCAGGCATAGAAATCTTAGCCTCTACCATCCAACCAAGTGTTAAAGAGCCCTTAGCGTTTATGTAAAACATGTGTAATGTGAAAACACGAGAATGCTCTGCCCGCAACGTGTTCTAACCCCTCTTCTCCCATCTTGTCTACAGGTAACCTTCGCAGCTACAACCTGGCCACCCCGAACCTGACAGCCCCTAGCCTCACAACCCCCCAGATGGCCCCCCAAAACCTACAGCAGTATTTCCCCCAGGCCACTCAGCAGTCCCTGCTGGGCCCCCCTCCCGTCAGGGTCCCCATAAACCCCTCCAAGCTCATCCCTTCAGGGCGGAACCCCCAGAAACAGGCCCGGACCACCCCTGATCGCAAGGTGAGTGGTGGCTGGGGGTGGAGCAGGCAGGGATGGGAGCGGGCGGGTCTGGCCATCAGCCCAGCTCCCCACTCTGGCTCACTGAGCAGGCCACACCCTCTTTATGCCTTAGTTTCTCCATCTGTAAAGTGAGCAGGAGGTAAGTTGGACTGTGTAGTGTTTCTCAAACTTGAAATATTCCTGAACCCCTCATGGGATTTTTGCCATGTCCAAATATCATCAGCATTATTATTTACCTAGAATTTCTCTTCTTAAAAAATTTGAGCTATAGTTGACACATAACACTGTATTAGTTTTAGGAGTAATCTGACAGTTCTCCTTAAAATCAGCACTGCCGGATGGAAATAAAATGCAAGCCATATATGAAATTTAATTTTTTATAGTGATTATTTTAACATGTTGCACACCAGTAGTTTTATTGCTAGCTTTACCCAGTGGCCAGATGAGTTTCTATGGAACGAGTACAAAAAACATTTTACAAAGTCTCATACTTTAAAAAGATATTAGCTTGTAAGAAGCTAATAAATAACTTCAAAACTCAATGGGCATTTAATTGTAAGGCGTGCCTTTAACATTTCTGCAAAACACGAAAACACTTGTGGTCCGCCCACAATGTGTTAACGAAGCAAAACAAAACAGGTGAATTTAATTTTAATTAAATATATTGTATTTAATCCAATATATTTAAAAATTACCATTCCAAAATGTAATCAGTATTGAAAAATGAGCGAGGCATTTTCCTTTTTTTTTTTTTTTCCAGTACTAAATCTTTAAAATATGTTGTGTATTTTATACCAAAATCTCAGTTTGGCTTTCCGCATTTAAGTACTCAGGAGCCCCACCTGTGGCTACCGGCTCTGCCTGGGCGGGCACCGCTCGGAGTGAGCTGGCCTCTGCTCAGTGATCGCTTGCTTGATTGATTTGAGAGAAACATCGACTTGTTGTTCCGCTTATTTATGGTTCCCTGGTTGATTCTTGGATGGGCCCTGATGGGAGATTGAACCCACAACCTTGGCACATCAGGATGATACTCTAACCAACTGAGCTATCTGGCCAGGGCCTCTGCTCAGTTATTTTAAAAGGAAACGTGACATATCACTACCTAAAAATATATATATTTAAAATAAACACAGAGAAGAAAGGTAATGGGTAATTTTTAATATTATAAAGAAAGGTAATTTTTAATATTATAAAGCCCTGAGCTCCTCACTGGCCACCCGAAGGTTCTGAGCCGGCACCCCTGCTGCTTCCTGTCTGAGGGGTAAACGCTTCAAAGGGAGTGTCCCCCATAAGCAGAAAGACTGAGACTTTCTCCGCAAGGGGAATAACGTGCTCCCCGAGCCTGTCCGGCCCTGAACACCCCTGCAGCTCCTCACACACCGTGCTCCTCAGAGAGGATTCTGGGGTGGGGGGCAGTACCCCCTTCTGCCTGCTCCCAGGCAGCCCCCCTGGAGGTCCTGGCCTCTGGCCTTCCAGCGGCCTCTCTTCACATGGGCTTGTCTGGGACCCCCATGCCCATTTTACAAATGGGAAAACCGAGGCTCAGTGGGTGGAGTCGCCTTGAGTGAGAAGGACCCAGAGCTGGGCGTCCTGACTTGAAGGCCAGCGCCATGTCTCACGGTGGTTGCTGGAGGGCATGGAGGCCTGATGGGTGCGTGTCCCCCTGAGCACTGGCTCCCAGAGTTTGCCCTTCCTCCGAGCCAGAGGCAATGCCCTCTCCTCGCTCAGCGCCCCTGAAGGGTCCCTGTGAGAAGTGCGTCCAGGGCTCTGGGTCAAGGCCTGGGGCAGGGAGAGGCCTGGGCTTCGGGGACAGGGCTCTGGCCTCTGGCGCGGAGGGTGGGTGTGGGGGCAGAGTCGTTTTGTAGAGGAAGTAGGGGCAGTGGTGTCAGTTCGGGGTGAGAAGAGAGTCCTCCAGGCCATGAGAGGTCACAGGAGGGTTTCAGCCTGAGAGAGATGAGACACCTGGTCAGGGGTGCATTGGAGGGGGTCCCTCCAAGCTGGTTTGGGGGGAAGAGGGTGGGGAGTCAGCACGCAGCACCGTGGCCAGGAGAGGGCTCATGTCCCCCAAACCGGGTTTCCTTGACGTCAGCAGCCAGATGGAACGCCCTAGACGCCATTCCTACGGCCTTTAAGATCATCTCGGTGGCTCTGGGCCAGGCCCACCAGAGGCCCAGTCCCCTCCCCCCCCTGGGCCACTGCAGCTGCTCTTGGGCGTATTGGCCGGGGGGCGGTGGGCGTCAGAAACGGCTTCTGACTGGAAGCAGGACTCTTCTTCGCAGACGATGCCCGTGGAAGACGAGGCAGACCCCCCAGCGGGGTCTGAGGACTCTGCGGAGCCCCGAACGGACACGCCAGGTGAGGGAGCTGCTGGTCCCTCAGAGCGGATGGGGGTGGGGGCAGGTGGGGGCAGGGTGGGTAATGGAGGCAGGGATCTGGGTGGGGGCGAGCCCAGGCCTTTTCTCCTAGAGATCGCTCGTGCTTTGCCTGTCCCTGGCGGCCACTCATCTGCCCTTCATTCTAGACCAAGGCTCCCCTCCCCGCCCGGATGGTGCTGCTAAGGAGAAATGCACTTCGGCGTCTGAGCCAGGGTCCTGTGAGGCGTCTGAGCCACCGGCTAAAAGGTCGAAGAGGTAACTGATGCTGAAACCCTGTCAGGGCCCAGGCCTGGACCCTCATTCCTGCAGCGGTGTTGGGGCGGGTATAGGGGAGGTGGAAAGTACTCTTCAGGGGCATTGAAACAAGGAGAGGGCATTGGCTTCTGGCTCGGAGGAAGGTCAGACCTGATTCTGCATCTCACTGGGAAGGCCCAGGCCAGACAGACTGATGTCTCACTGTCTGAGCCACCAGAGACAGACGGAGTGGCCAGGATGGAGGGTGAAGACGTGCATCTGGGACCTAGATGGGCAGGGGCGGGGGGGGGGGGGGGGAGGAGAAGCCCTACAGGGCCTTGGCTGCATATTAGCAAGTTGTGGGAGCCAGTGATCCCACCCACTTATTTCGGTGAAACTGGGGCCCTGAGAGCCAAAGGGACTTGCCCACATGCCCAGCTCGCATGTGGTAGCGTGACGGTCGGAACTGGGTCTCAGCCTTTCTAGGGAGCCGGTTGGGAGGCGTGAATTTGATCTCCTTTGGCCCTTCCTAGCTCAGAGGAGCCCACAGGAAAGGGACCCCCAGGGCAGCTGCAGGCGAAGGTCCAGCCGCAGGCCCGGATGACGGCACCGAAGCAGACGCAGACGCCCGAGCTGCTGCCCGACCCCCTGGAAGCCCGCGTGCGGCCACGGTTCCAGCCGCGGGTCCTGCAGATCCAGGCCCAGGTGCAGCCACAGATTCAGCCACAGGTGCCGCCCGTGGGCGCCCAGGTGCAGCCAACGCTGCAGAAGCAGGCGCAGACCCAGACCTCTCCAGAGCACTTCCTGCCGCGGCCGGCGCAGGTGCAGCCCCCGAGGCAGGTGCAGCCCCCGACTCAGGTGCAGCCGCAGCTGCAGAAACAGGCACAGACACAGACATGTCCACAGGTCCAGGCAGGAACACAGCCCAGGGTCCAGCCCACGGAGCAGCCACCAGAGCAGCCTCCAGTGCAGCCACCGGACCAGACGGAGGGGCAGCCTCCAACGCAGCCCCCGGTGCTGGCGACAGGGCAAGAGCCTGTTCCGGCTGATGCCCCTCGGCAGGAGTCGCCGCCCAGTGCGGGAGAAACGGAAGCAGGTGAGGGAGCGCTGGCTCCCAGCCGGCCCGGTGATGAGACAGCCCCGTCCTCCCCTGGCACAGTCCGGCTCTGCCTGGGACCAAGGGTTGGACCCAGAACCAGGCCAGTCACACCAGAGGCTTAGAGGCCTGGGCTGTGCGCACAGAGGTGGCCCTGGGGCCCAGGTCCCTGTGGGTCCGGTGGGAGATGGGCCCGGGAAACAGAGCACACGTGTCATTGCAGGCCTGGAGGAGGCCTCCCCGGAGCCGGGGGCGGCACAGGGCAGCACGGACGGGCGCCAGGAGGAGCTGACCGGCGGCCTGGATGTGGGAGAATGTGAAAAAAGAGCGAGAGAGATGCTCAGGGTGGGTAGAGGACCCCAGTGCCCAGGCCTCTTTCTATCCCAGGACCCCCCGGGGCCCCTCGTGTTTCCCCACCTGCAGCCCGGCCTTGTGGGCAGAGCAGAGTGGGTCTGAGTCAGACTCCTCATGCTGTGGAGCCGCCTTCACACGCCTCTGCTCTGAAGAGCGGATGCTATTTTGGGGACAAGAGTCCCTTCCAGCCTGCTCATCCCCAAACTGGAGTGCCTGGTCCTCTCTCTCCCACGTTGCTCTTTAGAGAGAGTGGAGTGTCCGTCCGGGCCCCGAGTTGGGGCCCAGCTCTGCTTCACGGCAGATTCCTCCTCTGTGTCTCTATTTCTCCATGTCAGTCAGGAGGGTGGGTGGGCTTTAGATTTTGGTGGGGGGGGAGCGCCTGGCTTTGTATCCTGACCACAGTGCTCCCCAGCTGTGTGAGCTCAGGCAGTCATCGAACAGCTGAGAGCCTCAGTTTCCCCATCTGTAACGGGGCTCTCGGGAGGCCTGACGGGAGCAGGCTCACCGGGCTTTAGCGCGGGGGCTGGCCCACCTGACGGGCCCAGCCCGTGGTAGCTCTGCTCTCTCTCCTGGCGCAGGTGTGGGGTGCCGCGGGCTCCCTGAAGGTCACCATCCTGCAGAGCAGCGACAGCCGGGCCTTCAGCACCGCATCCCTCCCACCCGGGCCACGCTCCAGCGACGCCGCCTCCGCCAGCCCTGCCGCCGCCGGCGTGCCCCCCAAGAGGGTGCTCCAGTTCTTCTGCTGCCTGTGCAGGGCCGGCTGCTGCAGCCAGCAGGTACTGCCCCCGCCCCGGGCGGCGGGCGGGCGGAGGGTGCCAGCCTGCCCGGTCCATGGCTGTGTGCGTGGCCGCGTGGGGCGCCATGAGCCGGGGCCTGGCAGCTGAGCGCTGCCCAGAGCACATGTTCAGAGCAGCCACGAAGGCAGGATGTCACCGTCAGGCAGAGCTGGTGTGAATCGGCCCTGCCCAGCCCTGCGGACCTGGGAAGGAATTCACCCTTTGTGCCTCAGTTTCCTCATGCGTCAGATGGAGAAACTTTTAGAACGCACCACGTCCGGTGGTTCTGAGGATTCAGCGACTCGACATTGAAGTCACGAGCCCCAGGCCCAGCCCGGGGCGGGCATCGCATGAAGCACAGCATGAGGCTCGGGGTGCGGTGGTCACCCCGCTGCTCTGTGCCTGGCGGGGCAGAGCCGGGGGCCCTGAGAGTTCATCAGACGGCTCCTGGTCTCCGAAGTGCCTGCCCAGGCTCCAGGGGGAGCGGAAGCTCTGGCTGCTGTGTGCTCACTCTGTGCCTCAGTTTACCATCCTTCCGTGGCCCACACAGGGTAGTTGTAGGAGAGATGGATTCTCAGTGGTGGTGGGCGGCCATGAAACCGAGGTCGGAGGCCTCCTCCCCGGGCCCCAGGCCTGCCCGTCTCCCGGGGGCTCAGTCCTCATGCCCGCCCCTCCCTTCCTCCCTCCCTCCCTCCCTCCTTCCCTCCCTTCCTCCCTCCCTCCCTCTCTCCTTCCCTCCCTCCCTCCCTCCCTCCCTCCCTCCCTCCCTCCTGTGCAGGAGTTCCAGGACCACATGTCGGGGGCCCAGCACCAGCAGCGGCTCGGGGAGATCCAGCACCTGAGCCAGGCCTGCCTCCTGTCCCTGCTGCCCGTGCCCCGGGATGTCCTGGACAGAGAGGCTGAGTGAGTGCGGGATCTCAGGGCCCCATGTGGGGGGCGGGCCATCTCCCAGGCCAGACCCGGCTGCGACGGGCCCTGATTCTACCATCTGCACGGTCTGCCTGTGTGCTGAGCACTGCCCTCCCCCAGAGGCCTCTTCACACCATTGACTGTGTGCCCTGGGACCTCAGTTTTCCTGTCTGTACAATGGCCCCCTAAGGGCTGTAATGCAGGAACTCGTGAACTGGAGGTCTCTCCGGGCTCCATCCGGGCAGGAGGAGTGTGACCGCCCCCGTGGGCGGGCCGTGGGCCGTGGGCCTGCTCCCCGGCGCGTTTGCTGACCCCGCCGCCGGGCTGCTGGGGGCGAGGGGCGAGAGCCGCTCTGGGAGCCACAGGGCGTCACACTGGAGGGTAAAGAAAGGTTTTCAGGGCCCGGTACCCTCCGAAGTGTCACCGTCCTGGTGACCCTCTGGCATCCCAGATGCTTCCCAATCTCCCTTCTCCCCCAGCTCTCCTGGTGCACGTTCCCATGTGAGCATTCCTCCAGAGGACGTTCCGAGCGTTTGGTTAAGTTTCCCAAGGAGTCCCTGCTGGGATCGCACTGGTTTCCCGGGCACCCGGCAGAGAGGCTGTCTGTCCAGGAACGCGGTGTCACGCCGCCTTGTTCTGATTGTCGTCACCCAGGGAGCCGCCTCCGAGGCGCTGGTGCCACACCTGCCGCGTCTACTACGTGGGGGACCTGATCCAGCACCGCCGGACGCAGGACCACAAGGTGCGAGGCCCCGGCTGTGCCGTCTCCGTGCCGGGGCTGGCGGGGAGGGCGTCCAGGCTAGAAGGGAACGTCGGTGTCCGTCTGTCTCTGCGTGGCCATCCCATGACAGTGCGGCTTCTCAGCGATTCCATCATGTTTCTTCTCTTCAGTGTCCCCATCTGCCCGGCGCAGGCCAGGCGCCAGCTCGCCCTGCAGTGGACCGTGGGGCTCGGGGGGCTCCTCTCAGCACGTGTGCTCTCTCCTGGCCTCTCTCTGTTGCCGTCTGCCGTCCCGTGGCGGAGCCAGCGGCACAGGGAGGGACGTGCTCGCCAGTGCTCTGGCACGGGGGCTGAGTGGAGCCAGCTGGTGACAGAGGAGGCGGCCGGCAGCAGGGAGGCGAGGGCTCTGGTCCTGGGGGCGCTGCCCGCCACCCACTCGGTCCGCCCTCCTCCCCCCCAGATCGCCAAGCAGTCCCTGCGGCCTTTCTGCACCGTCTGCAGCCGCTACTTCCGGACCCCCCGCAAGTTCGTGGAGCACGTGAAGTCCCAGGGGCACAAGGACAAAGCCAAGGAGGTAACCCCCGCTCCCGCGGAGGACATGGGCTCAGAGACGTGCAGCGTCCTGGCCGAGGCCACACAGCACGCTGAGGTTTATCCCAGCCCGAACGAACGCCCAGCAGGTCCAGAGCCGCTGGGATTCCCAGAGGGGTGGGGTGGACGGCATGTGGCACCCTGGCCACCCAGAGCCGACCTGAGCCCTCACCCACTTCCCGGGCCCTCATCCACTTCCTGAGCAGCTGAAGGTGTCCGAGGAGGAGCCAGCTGGCCAGGGGGAGGACCACTTCATCACGGTGGATGCCGTGGGTTGCTTTGAGGACGATGACGAGGAGGAGGAGGAGGAGAATGAGGAAGAGATCGAGGCTGAGGAGGAATTCTGCAAGCAGGTGCTTGGGGGGAGGAAGGGATGTGGGAGGCTGGCTGGAGGCCGGATTCCCTGCCCAGGGGGGACCGCACCCCACCTCCCGGGGCCGGGAGGCACTAATGCCTGCTCCAATCTCGTATTAGCAGTAACTGTGTTCTGTGGGGCTTTGTAAACACACCACGGTGACTTCAGGTGGCAGTGAGCTCTTCAAAGGAACGGCATCAGTAAGGGCACGGGTGGGGACGATGCAAGAGCTAGAAACATCAATGAGAGAAGCATCAACCAGCTGCCCCCTGCACACCCCCTATCGGGGATGTGCCCGCAACCAATGTACGTGCCCTTGACCGGAATCGAACCTGGGACCTTTCAATCCACAGACCGACACTCTATCCACTGAGCCAAACCGGTTTCAGCTAGTTCACGCTTTTTGAGCACCTACCTGTATAGCGGGCATGCACCCAGCACGTTCCTGGCAGAATCTCACCAACTGGGATGCGCGGTTGTGCTCGGAACGCCCCGCTACTCTGTCTCCCGTGAGCGAGGAGCTAGAGAAGCGTGGACTCTTCAGTTAACAGATGTTTCCGGAGCAGCTGTTCTGGGCCAGCCCTGGCAGAGCTCACCCGTTACAGCCCCGGGTGGTGAGCGGGCGGCAGAAAGGACGCAGAGGGACTGGATGGAGGGCTGCCAGGGTGGCCTCCAGCCCCAGGCCGGTTAGGGGTGAGGCTGGCCTTGCTCTTCAGTCAGAAGCCCCATGGCGGCTCTGAGCCTGTTCCCTCTGTTCAGACAGTCCCCCCTCAGGCTGTGAGGGTCCCGCCCTGGCTGGCACACGGGCGTGGTTGTCACACTTAGAAGTTATGTTTGCTGCCTGGTGTTGGGAGGCTCTGTTAGGCAGGGGGAGGCTGACATGGCTGGAGTCAGGTGGCCTGAGCTGGAAGGGGCCTGCGGCCAGGGGAGATGGGGGGTCCTAGGTCACCCGAAATCCATCCCCCGGGACTGAGGTCACTGCAGCATCAGCGGGGACTCATGGGCTGGCAGGGGCTCACGGTGAAACGTGAAAGCAGGACTTGGGGCCCACCAGGTTCACTGCCCTGGCTCCTCCCCAAACCAGCTGTATGACGCCAGGCAAGAGAGTTCAAGTTTCCTCTTATGTAAAATGTGTGAAGCATGGGTGTTGGTCGTGAGGATCAACCAGATGGCATGTGTGGCGTGTTGGGCACACCGGGCATGGCTTATGGCCACTGTGGGAGCAGGGGGGCTTCCTGGAGGAAGGGATGGGTTGAGCTGAGCCTACACAGTATCGATTGGGAAGTGTCCTGAAGGAGGCAGGATCGGCATGTGCGAAGGCTGCGAGAATGCCTCCCTCAGCCTCCTCACAAGCCAGGGGACTGAGTGTAAGAGCGCGGGTGAGCTCTGAGACCCCCCACCTGCATTCAGGGGTGGGGGCTCCGGGGGCAGTCAGATCTGAGGCCCTCACTTGCATCTCTCCAGGGAAGGTCCAAAGGGATAGCCACAGACGAGTGGAAAGACGCAGAGACCCACAGCCCCAGCACCGCACATGGTAAGGCCTCAGCCTCCGGGTGACCCCCGGGTCCCGGGCACAGCACCTGCCCAGGGGCCTGTCCTCTGTCCCTTCCTCCCGCCCAGAAGGAAGGAGGGGAATGAACGGGCTCTAAAGAGGCGGCACGCTGGTGGGCTTGGAGGAACGTGAGTGACAGACCCGTTGTCCCACAGGCTCGGACGTCATGGTGCCCGTGATGGGCTACGTCTGCCGCATCTGCCACAAGTTCTACCACGGCAACTCGGAGGCCAAGCTCTCCCACTGCAAGTCCGCGGCCCACCTGGAGAACCTGCAGGTGAGCTGGCCTCAGCCCCCCCCCACCTCCCTCCCTCCAAACTGGAGTGACGGCCGGTGGCCACCTCCCTCCTGTGTGTGACCCCAGTTCCCAGACCCCCCCCCCGCCACACACACACACACACACACACACACACACACACACACACACAGGGAGGACTTGCCATAAAGGGGAGAAGAACCAGGGCGGGCGGGGCTCTTGCAGTTTTTGTTGGGGGGGTGGGAGGGGCGGTGCTGAGGGCCAGGCAGCGGGCCCAGAGCTTCCCAGGGAGGCTGAGCACACACACAGGGTCACACTGCCCGTCCAGTGCCCTCTCGCTGGGCTGGGGAAGCAGCTGCTGGCCCGGAGCGCACCAGGTGGGGAGGCCCTGACCCATCTGCGCTGTCTGTGCCCAGAAACTCAAGAAGGCCCAGGATCCCAGCCCTGCCGCCAGGCCCGTGAGCCGCCGGTGTGCCATCACCGCCCGGAACGCCCTGACGGCTCTGTTCACCACCAGCGGCCGCTCACACCCCCAGCCCGGCATCCAGGACACGGCCAAGCCCCCCAGCAAGGTGACCGCCCAGGCTCCCCAGCCCCCCCCATTCCGGCGCTCAACCCGCCTCAAAACCTGACGGGAGCTCCCGCAGCGCCTGGTGGGCCCAGGGCTGTGCTTCCGGGAGGGTGCACGGAAACTTGACCTGGTTGGTGTTTTTACCCAGAAACCCAATAAAAGAAGGTAGCTTGGTTGTCTAGTCCCCACCAGCACTCTGCCTGGGTGGACGGGGAAGGGCGGCACCAGCCAGCTCTCAGTCTGACAGCCGAACAGGTTCCCAAACCAGAGGTTCACCTCTCTGAGCCTCAGTTTCCCTCTTAGTAATGTATCAGGGCCAGGAAAATGGTCAAGTGAGATCTCATTTAATCCTCACAGTGCCTCTAGGAGGGAGGTCATGTTACCCCAAATTCAGGATAAGGAAACGAAGGCCTAGCAAGGTCAAGCGGCTGGCTAAAGGTCCCACACCAGTGAGTGGCCAGGATCAGACTCCAGGCCTGAGCGCTGGGCCCCTCTCTCCAGAGGGATTCCGTGGGAGCTGGAGTCAGGTAGGGGGGCCCTTCTGCTCCCCCGGTTCCCAGTTCGTGGTGCACTAACGGTGACCTGCCTTCTCATCAAGTGGCCTGCGATGAGTCATCCGTGACTGGAGCCTGGGCAGAGTTATCTTTCGTTCTGCTGTTGCCCCATTTGGAAAGCCCCTTCCAGATCAGACAGCCAGACCACCCCTGGTGTTGGCCAGCTGGGGAGACTGAGGCCAAGAGCAGGAGGATGGTGCCCACGCTCCCGCACCATGCCTTGGCGTTGGCTGTCTTAGTGACAGTCCTAGTACCCAGAGAAGCTAAGGGCATCACACAGGTCAGACGGCATGTCCAGTGCTGTCTCACCCTGGCTGGGGAGGAAGTGCTCACCTCACCTGTCCCCTCTGTGTCCAGAAATAAAGAAAACAAGAGCCCATTCCCCGCTCCAGGCCCGCGAGCAGCACCTGAGCGCCCTGACTGCTCTGTGCACCTGTCGCCCTGGGGTTCGCACCAGCATCCAGGCAGTGTTGTTGGAGACACGTTTAATGTGGACATTGAAGGCCTGGGCAGAGGGAGAGTGCCCAGGGGTGGGACAGGCAGGCGAGGGGGAGGGAAGGCGGGGTGGGGGAGGTGTCTGCGCACGAGGGGAGGATCTGAGAGTGGCTCAGGCAGGCAGAGCCGCCGGGGGACCTGGGGCCAGCCCTTGAGAAGGCATCTGAATCAGGTGGTGAGTGCCCAGGCCGGAGCCCGGCCCCGAGGGGCAGGGGGCGGGCCTGCGAGGAGCCTAGGGGCCGGCGTCGTCCTCGTAGATGGCTTCGTAGGCGTCGTAGTAGTATTCGTCGTCATCGTCATCCTCGTCGTCAGTGAGGTCCTCCCCTAGCTGCTGCTGGAACTCCAGGCGCGTCTGCCGGTTGGACTCCAGCAGCTCCTGGAGGCGGGCGTGGAGGTGGTCGTTCTGCTCCTCCAGGTGGTCCAGGCAGGTGTTGATCTGGTCCAACATGGAGTTGATGGCAGCGTATTCTGGAGGAAGGGAAAGAGTGCTCACAGACACCCCTCACCCCCAGCCTGACTCCTAAAGGGCTCTGGCAAGTTCGGACTCCTTCCTGAGCCTCAGCTCAGGTCACTGTGTGCAAAGTGGTGGATATAAAAAGAGGGAAGGCTTTAGATAGAGAGAGCGCCTTAGCACAGTGGTCGGCAAACTGCGGTAAGAGAGCCACATGTGGTTCTCTGGCCCCCTGAGTGTGGCTCTTCCACAAAATGCCACAGCCTGGGCGAGTCCATTTTGTTTTTTGTTGTTTTATAAAAAATATATATTTTATTGATTTTTTTACAGAGAGGAAGGGAGAGGGATACAGAGGTAGAAACATCTTTTTAAAAAACATATATATTTTATTGATTTTCCACAGAGAGAAAGGGAGAGAGACAGAGAGCTAGAAATGTTGATGAGAGAGAAACATCGACCAGCTGCCTCTTGCACACCCCCTATTGGGAATGTGCCCGCAACCAAGGTACATGCCCCTGACCGGAATCGAACCCGGGACCTTTCAGTCCGCAGACCGACGCTCTATTCACTGAGCCAAACTGGTTTTGGCATATTTTGAAGAAGTGGCGTTAGAAGAAGTTTTAAGTTTTAAAAATTTGGCTCTCAAAAGAAATTTCAATCGTCGTCCTGTTGACATTTGGCTGTGTGGACGAATGAGTTTGCCGACCACGGCCCTAGCACACAGGGTCCTGCCTGGGAAGTCCTGCCAGATACCAACCTCCTTCCACTCCTTCACAGGAGAGGCCACGCTCCCCTTCCTGAGCCGGGCAGCCCAGGCCTCTGGCCCAGGCAAGCCCATCCCGCCAGCTCTTCATGGCCGCCTGCTTCCCAGCCCTTCTGCCTTTGCTTGGCTGTCCCTGCCACCCACAATACCGCAACAGCAGCCATTTAGCAGCTCGCTCCAAACACCTCTTCTGAGAAGCCCTCCCTGGTCTCCACCAGAAACCGTCACTGCCTCCTCCACAACCACCCCTGACCGGCACCCAGCAACACAGTGTCCCGTGGGGCCAAGGGCTGGGCCTGTGCCCACTGTGGGAGCCAGTCTGAGCCAGCCCGTGACTCAGATACACTCTGCTGCCAGCTGGGGACGGAGGGGCAGTGGCTGGCAGAGTCTGGAAAAGGCCAGCGCTGGAGGGTGTCTGGAATATGGATGAGAATATGGTTTGAAATCTGTCTGCATTCTGGACCAACCGTCACCCAGCGTTGGCACACCTCAGAGGCCAGAGGCCTGGAAAGTCTCTGCTGGGCTTTGCAATCCAACCACCTGGTGGTACAGGAGGGGAAACTGAGACCGGGGAAGAAAGGACTTGCCCAGGGTCCTCCAGCTGGTCAGAGGCCAGAGCCAAGATTCAGACTTGGGAAGTGGGGCCCTTGGGCTTCAGCCCCCGCTCTGCTCCATCCCAGGAAGTTCCTGCAACCTCCCTGGAGAAGGGAGACACAGCGCTGGTGGCTGTGAGGGTTCAAGTGTATCAAGGGCTCAGGTAGGCTCCGGCTGCAGCAAGTACCTAATGCATGGTCATTGTCATCACCATGTCCCACTCTGTGTCAAGAGACACAGCCAGCCGGGACCGGTTTGGCTCAGTGGATAGAGCGTCGGCCTGCGGACTGAAAGGTCCCGGGTTCGATTCCGGGCAAGGGCATGTACCTTGGTTGCGGGCACATCCCCAGTAGGGGGTGTGCAGGAGGCAGCTGGTTGATGATTCTCTCTCATCAATGTTTCTAACTTTCTATCCCTCTCTCTTCATCTCTGTGAAAAATCTATAAAATATATTAAAAAAAGAAAAGAAAAGAAAAAGAAATAGCCAGGAGGACGGGGAGGCATGTCTCCAAACATGGGCCAGGCTTCCTCTGTGCCAAGGTGCTGCCCAGGTCCAAGCCTTCACTGCCCTCCTCCCCCCCCCCCCCCCCCCCCCGTGCAAAGTGCTTGCCTCCAGCGACCACTCAGTGCAAGTCCCGGGAGGCCCCCCCTTTTTTTAAAATATATTTCATTGCTTTTTTTACAGAAATGAAGGGAGAGAGAGTTAGAAACATAGATCAGCTGCCTCCTGCACACTCCCCACTGGGGATGTGCCCACAACCAAGGCACATGCCCCTGACCGGAATTGAACCTGGGACCCTTCAGTCCGAGGCCGATGCTCTATCCACTGAACCAAACCGGTTTCGGCGTGGGAGGCCCTTCTTGCTGTCCAGGGCAGAGCGGGCAGCTCACCACTTTTCCTGTTCTAACACTCCTGAGGTGAGGCCCTCACTGGCTTGACTCAGTGAACAGAGCGTCAGCCTGCAGACTGAAGGGTCCCGGGTTCGATTCTTTAAGGGCACAAGCCCAGGTTGCAGGACCAACCCCAGTAAGGGGCGTGCAGGAGGCAGCCGATCAATGATTCTTTCTCATCATTGATGCTTCTATCTCTTTCCCTCTCTGAAATCAATAAAAATATATTTAAAAAAATAAAACTATTGAGGTGACGGATGCACACTCTGGATACTGAGAAACCCACTGAATTGTACAATTTAAATGGATGAGTTGTAAAGTATGTGAATTATAGCTCAATAAAGCTGTTACCAAAGCAAAACGCAGATGCCATCCCCTACCTTTACTAAGTCCTGCATCGAAGAGCCCAGCCTTTATTACACCAAGGAGAATAACAATAGCCATTTACTGAACACTCGCATTTCGGGACCTACTAAGTATTTCTCATTCATTTTCCCATTTAATCCCGACACACCCCAATGCCGAGGCATCAGTCACTATGATTTTACGGATGAGGGCACAGGCGTCAGAGGGCGAGCAGGAAGCTGACGGTCCTCCCTCCACTCCTCACCCACCTCCTCCGCCGCAGTGAGGTGCACACAGAGGCTGCTTGGTAAACAGGTCACATTCGCCGGCTCCAGGCTGCACCACGGAAGATGGCTGGGGATGGCGACCCAAACCGCCCTCGGGCTGGGCCAACGCGGCCCGCGGTCCCCTCCGGGGCCGAACCAAGGACCGGAGCAAACCCCAAAGCGCGGGTGTGAGGCAGCCGGGATTCTGTGACATGGGGCCCGCCGATGCTGAGGTGCCCACACCCACTGGCGGGTGCTCGCCCCGAACCTGCAGCCCAGCCAGGAGCGGGGCACGGGAGGCTCCTTCCTTCCCAACCCCTATCCGCGCCCCCTCCACCTTCCCGGGAAGGGACCCCTGAGAAAGCAACGGCCGCCCCCGCAGTCCCCCTGCGTCACCTGCATCCCCGAAGCTGTCTTCCTCGTCTTCCGTGCTCGGCAGCAACGGCATGCCCATGTTGGGGCCCGACATTGCGGGCTCGGGCGCCGCAGAGGCCACGAGACGCTGAGACGCCGCGACCGTCACGCAGAAGCCCGCGTCGGGCGGAAGGTGGAGGGGGCGGGCGTCGCGCGGGGCCGGAAGCGGGGAGCCGCGCGGAGGAACGCGACCTGCGGGCTGGGCAGCCGGGACCCCGCCCACAAGGCCAGGAGCCCCACCCCGGTTATAACCCCGCCCCGTCCGTCATCAGACCCCGCCCCTCACAGCCAGAACCCGCCCCGCCCGCCGCCAGGCCCCGCCCCTCACAGGCAGAACCCGCCCCTCCCGCCGCCAGGCCCCGCCCCTCACAGCCAGAACCCGCCCCGCCCTCCTCCAGGCCCCGCCCCGCCCGCAGCCAGGCCCCGCCCCTCACCGCCAGGCCCCGCCCCGCCCACCGCCAGGCCCCGCCCCCTCCGGGCTCCGCCCTCTCAGTCGAGCTCCTCACTGAGCCCAGCCATCCCCAGGCTGCTGGCCGGGAAGCCAAGGGGTCGAGGGGCAGAAGCAGCCTGGGACCTCTCCTCCCCCATTCCGTCCCCATTCTGCCCCTCCTGACGCTGGTGACCTGTGGGGGGGCCAGCCAGCGCCCCCGCGTGGGCGGAATCTGAGACACGTGGTTTCTAAAGACCCCCTAATGGCTTCACAGCCTCCTGGAGAGTCAGGGTCAGCAGAGTGCTGCGTGTGGCTGTCGTTCAAGAAAGGCCGTGGGATACGACTGGCCCAGCTGCCATCACCCCACCCCTGTACTAGCTGGGACAGGGAGCCCTGCTCTGAGTCACCAGCTAGCAAGTGTGGCTCCTGAGGGGGACCCAGAGGTGTGATCTCCAGCTGAGAGTGACTTGTATACGGTCAGTGCCACTGCCTTCTCTCTGGACCACAATGAGTGGACGTGAGGCCTCAGCTGAACCAGTGCCTGAAGAATTTTCGTGACCTGTCCCTCACCCAGCGCAGCTGACACCACCCCTTCCCCAGACTATAAAGTGTGGGCATCCTTTCTCCTGTCACCCTCCTGCCAAGCCTCCACTCCTCCCTGCTGGGGCCAGCCACACCCTCACGGTCGCCTGGAGAAGCACCTGTGCCCCTGGATGGAGCAGGTGACGGCACTTGACTTGGACCATTCCTGGAGAGGGATAAATCTTTGGGTCCGAGAGAGGCGCTAGGACGTGCTTTGGGCAGCTGGGCACCCTTCCTGTGGGGGGCCTTTCTGGCCTTGGGCACGGCCCCACCCCTCTCTAGCCCAAGCTCCACTAAACTGATCTGTCCCTGGAGTCTGGCCCTGAGCTACAGCGGCATCTGGTTGGGCCTGGCTCCAGGTCTGTGCTGCCCCCAGGTGGCTGAGGCTGGGACTGCTCACCGCACCAGCATCTCCCATCCCCCTGCCGAGGGCGGATGGGATAGGTGTGCAAGCCTGTGAGGGGGGGAGCCTGGGTTCTGACCTTGCAGGGGGAGAAGAGGCGGGAGTGGACCCAGGATTGGAAGTTAGGAAGTGTCCAAAGATGGACTCACGCCCTGGGACCTCCATCCCTCACTGGGGCCTCTCGGCGGCCTGGGAGTGATGCTGAGAGCCACCCTTGCCCTTTGCCCTCCCAGGTGGCCCAGTGGGCAAGAAACACAGACTGGGGTCTGAGGCTCGTGTTTATTTAGCAGTCGGGGAGCAATTCCCGGCAGGCTCCGGGGACTAGAGGGGTGGCTAGGAGCAGCGCTGGGCTGAGCTGTGAGAAGGCTCCTGGCTCTCAGGGGCGGCCGGCTCGTGGGGGCAGCTGGGTGGCACCTTGGCAGAGGCTGATAGGAAGGCACCGGGAAGGAGAAAGGCAGGAGGCACCTGAGAGGAAGGCAGGGGAGTCACCATGGCAACAGTGCCGGGTAGTGGTTCAGCCGGCCCTGCACTCTGGCTCCCATCAGCCCTCCCATCCATACTCACCGCATGCTCACTCGTCATCGATGCACGTGTCTGTGGGGGAGACAGTTCGTCACAACAGGCAGGGAGGTGTGTGACCCCTGACCACCAGGACCCCTGCCCTGCCCCCCGGCGGCCCCAGGCCCCAGCCTGGCCCAGGAGAAGCAGATCCAGAGGCTCCCTTCGGGGCTGGGGCAGCAGAGGGACAGGGGATGGGGGGGGGGGATCTAGAGAAGGGCCTGAGAACACTGGGGGTCACTTGTTCCCAAGGACTCAAGCGAGGCCCGGCCACCTGCTAGCACCGAGGTCTCCTGCCCGTTACCCCCATGAGCCCTGGCAGCCCTCAGCCTTGGCGAGGCCGGTGGCTCTGGGGGAGGGGGCCCAGGCCATGAGCCTGGGAAGCTGGGACCGGCCTGAAACTCCCATCTGGGCTGGCCCAAGCCATCTCTCTGGGAAGAGTCCTTGGGACCCAGACCCCGGGGGCCCTGCAGATCGCTGGGCGGGGACATGGTGTTTCTGAACCCAGAGCGGCTCCCGGCAGGCTCCGGGGACTAGGGCCCCCTCTCCCCGTTTCCCTGCGGGACGTCATCAGGCCTGGACAGTCCCCCGCCCCTGCCTCCTCTCCCCAGCCGGCCATTACCGATGGGGACGGGGTAGACGATGTTGTCATCAGTGAGGCCCAGGGACTTGGCAAAGTGGCTGAAGTTCTCCTTCAGTTCCTGGGGCAGCTCCTTGGTCCTTCCTGTGGCCAAGATGGCCGGCGGGGGGCGGAGACACTCCATGAGCATTGTTGAGTGGATGAACGAGCCTCACACCTCTTTCCCTGGCCTCCCGGGGCCTTGGGGGGTGGGGGGATGGACCCTTCCCTCCCCTGTCTGGGACAGGAGGGCCCCCCAGGCGGTGAAGACTCACCGTAGAGGGTGACCTTGAAGTACCCCCGGTTCTGGGACACCTTCTTGAAGAACACCATGGCGAACTGGGTGTAGTCGGTGGCCACCACGCGCACGGTGTAGCGCTGCAGGCCCGGGTAAGCTGTGGGGTGGACGGCGGGTCAGCCCGGCTGGTGGGACAGACGGCTCCTCCCTCCCCCAGCCGCACAGGGCGGCCGGTTCCCCTCTGGGAGGACCCCAGGCCTGGGACCCCAACCCCGGGGCCCACATCACTCGGGACTCACCCCTAATGTTGCCCAGGCGGAACTGGCCGGGCCGGGAGGTTCGGACAAACGTCCTGACGAAGTACTGGCAGGTCTGGTTCCTGTGGGAGTGGGGGGTGCATGGGTGAGGGGGACACGCTGGCTCGGACCCCTGGGCTGGGCGAGGTGGGAGCCAGGGTTGCCGCTGGAGGGGCTGACGGGGTTCCAGGCTGGGCAGTGACCCTCCTCCCCCCCAAACACCCCTCCACCCCCGCTCTCTGTCCGTTTCCCGAGGCCTGTTCGTGTGTCCCTGTCTGTGAGCACAGAAGTGATCCGTATATGGTGACGGATGAATGAAGGAAGGAGGGGACCGTCTGTGAATCCGGGACTGAGCAGAGGAGAGTGACTCCCTCCCAGCTTCTGTCACCCGGTGGCCGTGACTTCAGCCTGTCTCCGCGCCCTTCCTCCCTCAGCCCCGTCCCATGCTCCCAGGTGGCGGCGGCTCTCACCGGAGCAGGGTGGAGGTGACGTTGTAGCTGCGGTCTTTCTTCAGCTCGTAGTTGGTGGTGTACATCGTGAACTGGCCGTCCTCCGTCTGGGAGACCGCATTTCCCGCCAGGCCCACCACGTACCACTTCCCCTGGAACTGCAGGGGCCGGTGACAGGCCGAGGGGGCCGGTGACAGGCCGAGGGGGCCCCAGGGACCCCGGCAGCCCTGTCCCTGCATACATCCCTGGGCGGGGGCTCAGAGCCAGGAGCGCCCCGTCCAGGGCCCCGGGACTCCTGCCTGGGACCCGGGCCTGCACTGGGCCTGCTCCCACAAAGCCGGCAGGCGCTGGAGGCTGCGGGCCAGAGGAAGCCCGGAGTCTGTCAGGGATGGAGTGACTGTGGCCAGTGGGACTGAAGGTGTCCCCAGCTTGCACGGACTATGGGGATTATGGGAGAGAATGTGGACCCTGCAGGACAGCGAGGCTGAGGTAGGTGTGGGGGCATGGTTTCCATCAGGAGGGCAGGCTGAGCTGAAACCTGGGCCCATCCGTCCTAAATGTTCTCTAAGACTCGGCCTCAACTCCCTCTGCTCCCCCTGCTCTGGGGCCCTCCCACTGCGGCCCCGCCAGGGGCCTCACCTGGTCAGCTCGGAAGTTTCGCTGCAGCGGGACCCTGGTCAGCGGCGGGGCGGGGATCAGGTTCGGGGAGGAGTCCTGGGCCTGGGTCTGCAGGGCCCCCAGCAGGGTGAGGCTCAGCCACAGGAGATGGAGGGCCATGGTTGCAGGGCTGAGGCCACCGGGCAGCTGCTGAGCCAGGAGGCGGTGAAGGAGGAAGAGGAGTGAGGAGCTGGCCTGAGGGACCCTATTTAAGGTCCCCGTTCCCCAGCTCTCCCTGGGTGGGGCGGCATGGCCTTTGCCAAATCCAGGAAAGGTGAGGTAACTGCTGGCAACTCCTGCGGGATGTTTGGTAAGCTTTCGGCCTCTTTCCCCGCGGTCAGGATTGGGCAAATCGGAGGGGCAGGAAGGCCAGGGAGGCAGCGGGGACTTCCCCGGAGCGCCCCAGCTCTGCGGGGACGGGCTCCCTGGCACAGGCTCTGTGCCCCTTCCCTCCGCTCTGTTTGTGTTCAGCGGCCCGATCTGGACTGACTGTCATCTCTGACATCCGGGAGCCACGGCAGGGGGTGGAGGGGGGTGTGTGTGTGGTGAGACCCTCTGATCTGTTTCCTGGTTCTCAGAGGGCACAGGGGAGGGTGGGGCACGGACGTAAACATTCCTGACGGGAAGGACACAGTGTTCTGAGTTCTCCAAGGGCCCCCCCGCCAGCCCTGGCACAGGGGAACCCCCTCCTCAGACGCCCATCTGGAAGGGCCCTGCCTTGAGCTGCCCCTCCCCTCCTCCAGCCCATGGGCGGGAGCGGCCCTGGCTGATCCCTCTGGATGTGGCCCCTCCTGGGGGCCCCCAAGACCCTAAGCCGGGCACTCCAGCCGTACCCAGAGCCGGGACAGCAAGGGGTGAGCGCTGCGCTCCCCACCCTCCTGCTCTGACACCTGGTGCTTGGGCTCCCAGCACCCAAGGTGCTGCAAGGACTGGGCCTGGCCCTTGAGGGTCACTGAGACCACCCACCACTGGGACCCCGTCCAGTGGTCCAGGCCTGGGTGCCCAGGAGTGTTCCGCCATGGCGGCCCCAGCCTGTCCTGGCGGGCAGTTTCCTCACTGGGGGACAGAGGCGGCCTGGAGTCTGGCCTGAGGGAACTGAGGATGTCCCGGCCCCTGACAGGGCCATTGGCTCTGCCCCCACCCGCCGCTCTGAAACCTGCACCCGGCCGGGCTCGGAGCAGCGGTTCCAAGGGAAGGGGCTTTGGCGGCGCTGAGCTGGTGGGTGGCTGCGGCCGTGGCCATCTTTGGCCATTGCCCGGCTGCCTGTCTGGGTGGCGAAAGGGCAGGAAGTGGAGATGAGCAAAGGTTTTCCATGATGTGGCCACCAGAGCCCTCGCGCCCTCCGGGGGTACCCCAGCCCCCACCCCGGCCTCTCCCCGCCAGCAGGCCAGGGCTCCTCCCAGCCGCTATCTTTGACCTTAAAAGGGATCCTTGAGCCTTTGGTGGCTGTTGGATGTGGGGGAGACTGACAGTGGAGCCCCAAAGGGTTTTAACTAGGGTAGGGGCAGTGCCCGGATCACCAGGAGTCACTGGGCAGACTCTCAAAGCCAGGACAGAGTGGCCATGCCCCCTGGGAACTGTGGGAGGGCAGGGCAGGGTCTGCAGCATGAGCAGCCTGGGCCCGGCTGCGAATCCCTGCCCCCCCTCACCCCCGTGCCCTCTGCCCCCCCTCACCCCCGTGCCCTCTGCCCAGCCCTCACCCCCCTGCCCTCTGCCCAGCCCTCACTCCCGTGCCCTCTGCCCAGCCCTCACCCCCCTGCCCTCTGCCCAGCCCTTACCCCCCTGCCCTCTGCCCAGCCCTCACCCCCCTGCCCTCTGCCCAGCCCTCACCCCCGTGCCCTCTGCCCAGCCCTCACCCCCCTGCCCTCTGCCCAGCCCTTACCCCCCTGCCCTCTGCCCCAGCCCTCACCCCCGTGCCCTCTGCCCAGCCCTCACCCCCCTGCCCTCTGCCCAGCCCTTACCCCCCTGCCCTCTGCCCCAGCCCTCACCCCCGTGCCCTCTGCCCAGCCCTCACCAGTCAGTGCACAGCCTGAGGAGCTGCTCCTGAGCCCCCGGTGGCACATGTGACAGCCGTGAAGGTTCTGGCGGCGACTGGAGGTCTGCTGTCTCTCCGCGCCCAGGACCAGCCGGTAGCTCCTCGCTGGTAGACCTGCCCCCCCATCCGGAGCGGCCCGGCTCTCCCTTTGGTCTCTCCCTGCCCTCCACATACGGGGCCAGTTTGGGAAACAGCAGGGGTCCCGGGACAGCCACGGCCATCGCTGGGGCAGAGTCAGTGCTGGGCTGGCTGGAGCTGGCGGGAGGGGGCCGCTGGGGTGCCTCTTGCATTCTGCCTCAGGCAGGGCCTGCAGGCTGGCGGGTGAGAGGAAATCTCTCAGGGCTCTCGGGCAGGGACAGCTTAAACAGGCACCCCTCCTGGCACAGCTGAGCCAGCACTGGGGGGTGGGCTGGGTGAGGGGCGCGGGGGGACTCCTTTGCGGACTCAGGCTGACTCTAAGCCCTCCAGGGTGGACGGGACCCTGGCGGCCCCACTCCTCGTCCACCCCCTCCCTCCGGGGCCTGGACACCTGGTCGGGGAGGGAACTCTCAGGTTCACCCTGCCCAGAGCTGGGGCGATCCCTAGGCAGAATGGCCTGACCTCGTGAGCATGCCAGACCCCTGCCCACTTCCCCTGGCCCATCACAAGCCACACGGAAGCTCCTGGGCCAAGGTCCTCCCGGGAGAAGCCAGGGCTGGGCCTTCCAGGTCCCGCTCCGGGTCCGCGGAGCAGCGGCAGGAACTTAAACACTATCTGCCCGTGGGTTTCTCCGTGGCCTGAGGCCAGTAGGAATCTGGCTGTTCCAGAACCCCTCCCGCCCCCACGGCCCGGCAGGTGGCTCTCCCCTCTCCACAGGCCCCAGACCTGGCTCCCCCCGACACGGTGGCCTGTTCTCCCGACCACAGGGCCCAGGCCCCGTACCTGCCCTAATCCCTTCAGGAAGGCAGCCACGTGTTCCCGGTGCCCATTGCACGTCAGGAATCCCGTCTAACTCCCTGGACCGGTCCCGGAAACTTATGAGCGTGGTGGCTGGGGAACAACAATACCCTCCGAGTTGCCTGAAGACACACATAAACAGACGTAGAAATCGTTTTATCTATAACTATAGATTTTACAGACATTAAAGGGTAAGAGGATGCTATAGGTAATGAAATGGGAAATGCTTGAACTTATGGGTTCATGAAGTAAAAGAGAGAGTGACCCTATAACATCACAGAGTTGACAAGTTATTAACAAATTTCCCAAAAAGAGAACCACCAGCCAAGCAATATATTCAAAACGCACAATTAGACACGTTTAAAAAAGATGAACTTTTAATTTCATTTCAGATTTATAGGAAATTTTAAAAATAGTTTGCAGAGCTTTCATATATCCCTCATTTCCCTTATCATCTTATATTACTGTGACATGTTACAATTAATGAACCACTTTTGATACATTATTTAAAAAAAATATTTTTTTTATTGATTTTTTACAGAGAGGAAGAGAGAGGAATTGAGAGTTAGAAACATCGACCAGCTACCTCTTGCACACCCCTCACCTGGGATGTGCCCACAACCAAGGTACATGCCCTTGACCGGAATCGAACCTGGGACCTTTCAGTACACAGGCAGATGCTGTGTCCACTGAGCCAAAACGATTTCTGCGATACATTATTAACTAAAGTCCATATTTTATTCAGATTTCCTTGGTTTGTACATAAGGAAATGTTTCAGGATACCATGTTGCTTTTTTTTTTTTTTAATGACCAGACAATTACATATGAGAATACACACTTAAAAAAATAATAATATATATATATATATATATATATATATATATATATATATATATATATATATATAATTGATTTCAGAGAGAGATAAGAAACATCAATGATGAGAATCATTGATTGGCTGCCTCCTGCACACCCCCTACTGGGGATCGAGCCTACAAGCTGGGAATGTGCCCTAGACCAGAACCTGGGACCCTTCAGTCAGCAGGCCAACGCTCTATCCACTGAGCCAAACCAGCCAGGGCGATCCCCTGTTACATTTAGTTGTCACGCCTCATTAGGCTCTTCTTGGCTGTGACACTTGCTCAGACTTTCCTTATTTTATTGATTTCAGAGAGGAAGAGAGAGGGATAGAAACATCGGTGATGGCAGGGATCATGGATTGGCTGCCTCCTGCACACACCCTTCTGGGAATCCAGCCCTCAACCCGGGCATGTGCCCTGACCAAGAATGGAACCCTGACCTCCTAGTTCATGCTCAAACACGCAGCCACAGCAGCGGCAGACTTCCCACGGTCTTGATGGCCTTGCCAGTTTTGAGGAGGGCTGCTCATGTGTTTTGTAGAATCGCCCCCTATTGGGACTTGTCAGGCGTTTTTCTCGTGACTAGACCGGGCTTATGAGTTTCGGGAGGAAAACTACAGAGGTCAGGTGCCATTTGTACCACATCATATCAGGGGAACACGCTTCCACTGGCTGATCGCTGTGGTGAGGACTTGATCGCCGGGCGGAGGTGTGCTGTCCCACGGGGGTCACCCAGATGGCTGGGGCAAACCCAGAAATGCGTTCCCCTTCTGTAAACCAGGTCCAGTGTGCGAGAGGTCCTAGCGGTCCCGCCACCAGGCTCCGCCCCTTCTCACCCTCAACCAATCCCGCCCTCAGGCTTTGCCGCAAGGCGGGGCCAACCAGGGTCTGCCCGCGGAGAAGCCTGAATGTCGGAGTCTCCAGCCCCCAGCCAGGGCGACCCAGCACGCAGGGGGTCGGTGCAGACTGGGACACCCATGCCTCCTCCATCTGCCCCATCCAAACTCTGAGGACTTGCGGGTGGGAGAGCTGGCGCTTCCGCATGGGCGAAATCTTAGACACCTTGTTCCCTAAAGGTCCCCAATACGTAGGGAAGATTTTATGGTTCAAGCCACAGGAGACCTGGTACAGCGGAGCGGGAGGGCAGAAAGAGCGGCGTCTCTGACGCCCTCCTGCTGTTGGTTGGATGGGGCGGTTTCGGGGCCCTCAAGGACCCGAAGCCGTGACTTCCTGACACCCCGAAGGGTTCAGTCTCTTTCGATTGGGTGCATGAGGCAGAAATGACTCATTAACCACATGTTACAGCCAATGTTGGGACTCAAGAGTCCACATCCGGAGCTGCGTGGCCGGGCAGAGGCTGGCGCCCGGGCATTCCCTCCCTTCGACGCGGGTCACCACGGAGAACCTTTTCATCTACGTGTGGAGGATCCGGGGCGTCCCCGGAGGTGTTTCCGCGGCTCCGCGGAGAGCATGCATAGACTGTGCCTCCGGGCCTGCTCGCTCGGCGTCACTGTTACTTTGGCAACCAGACGACCACATGAGACCTGGCCCTTTAAGGGAAGCCTAAGCAGCCCGGCGGTCTCGGTTTCGCGCGCCCGCCCGCGGCGCCGGTAGCGAGAACATGGCCCAGGCTGCACGCGTGCTGCGGCCCGGCGGGCGCGCTCTGGCCTGGCGGCTGGGCGGCCTCCCGACGCCCCGGCTCCCGGCGCAGAGCCGGGCTGGCTTCGCAGGGGCGGCGGGCGGCCCGGGCCCCGCCGCCATCGCCCGCAAGGGCAGCCGGCGGCTCCTGGGGCGGGCGGCGCTGGCCTTGGGCGGCGCGGTGGGGCTGTACTGCACGGCGCGGTGGCACCTGCGCGCCCAGGACCTCCGCGCCCAGCGCGCCGCCGCGCAGGTGAGCCGGGCGGGCCGAGCGCGGCGCGGGCAGGGGCGCGGGGGCGGCGCGGAGCTGCGGGGCCTCGGGAGGCGGTCGGATCCGGAGTCGCCTCCGCTGTCCGCTCGTGACCTTGGGCGAGTGACTTGGTTTTGTCTCCGAGTCCTCAGTGTCCTCATCCATGAAATGGGGCCGCTACTGCCGCCTGCTCACTGGAACCGTCTTTGGCCTAAAGCTGTGTTTCTAACTGGTTTAAAGCCTTTATAACGGGGAGGTTGTAAGATCACAGAAAAGAGAAAAGAAAGCCTCTTTCAGTTTATCCCCATCCCAAACATTTTGTCGGCTCCCCATCGTCTTCCAATCCTAAGGTTGTGTATTGATTGATTGATATTATTATTAGCATTTTTTATGGAACCGATGACCCTTAGATTCGGAGGGACATGGACGTGTCTCCCCAGCCAGGTTTCCTTGCAGTTCTTTGTAACTTGCACCAGCACAGCCTTTCTCTGCTGTGCCCCGCCCCCTCCTCCCATGCACTCCCTTATCCCTGCACCCAGGGGTGTCAGGGAGGGTGGGAGGGGAGTAGAGTTCTCTGTGTCTCCCTGCGCACTTCCACGGGTCCAGCCTCAGTTTCCCACCTGAACACTGAGGGCAGTGGACTGCAGCTGTCACTTTCAAACTAGAATATGCAGCAAGCTCGCAGGGGCCTTTCCTGCGGATCCTGGCCCGAGGCCCCGACACAACCCTTGCCCCTTAAAGCAGCGGTGCTCAGCCTTCCTAATGCCGCGGCCCTTTAGCACAGCTCCTCCTGTTGTGGTGACCTCCAGCCATAACGTTATTTTCGTTGCTACTTCATAACGGTCATTTTGCTACTGTCGCACCCACAGGTTGAGAACCGCTAGCGCTAGACCATCGGAAAACACAGATACTTACATTACGATTCATAACAGTAGCAAAATGACAGTTATGATGTAGCAATAAAAATAATTTCATAGCTGGGTTCACCACAGCATGAGGACCTGTATCAAAGGGCAGCAGCGTTAGGAAGGCTAAGAACCGCTGGCTGGAGGCAGAACCCACTCTGGCCGCGCTGGGGGTGGGGCGCTCTGGATGGAGGCTGAGCCTCGGCTCTCCATTCCTCCCCCTTTTCTCAGGGCCATCTTAGAGGGCTCCCCTGGGAACAAGTTTGCTTGGGGCAAGGCCTGGGTTTGGGGGGCGGGGAGGGGCGGGCCTGGGAAACAGGCCTCAGAAGCCCCCCTCCCTCTGCTCCCACCCAGCTCTCCCTGTCGGACCGCCTGCAGCTGACTCTGTACCAGTACAAGACCTGTCCCTTCTGCAGCAAGGTGCGCGCCTTCTTGGACTTCCACGCCCTGCCCTACCGCGTGGTGGAGGTGAACCCTGTGCGGAGGGCTGAGATCAAGTTCTCCGCCTACAGGAAGGTGCCCATCCTGCTGGCGCAGGAAGGAGAGAGCCTGGTGAGCCTCGGGAGCCCCCGCCATGTCCTGGGGTCCTCCCGGGTCAGCCTGGAAGGAATGCGGGCTCCTGGCCTCCGCTGAGGGCGCTGGGGGGAAGTAGCCGGTATACAGTAGGTGCTCAGTAAACGGAGGCTGCCGTCCTTCCCCACCAGCACCGGACACCAGCCTGGTCCAGGGGTACAGAGCACCGAGAGCTGAGCAATGTGGGCTCTGAAATCAGGGTGGTCTGGGTTCAAGACGAGGCTCCGCCCCTCGCCGGCTGTGTGACTCGGGGCCAGTCACTCAGCCTCTCTGGGCGTGCTGCTTCATCCGTCCGCGGAGGACCACGCTCTCCAGGTTGTAGGGAAAGCCGGCTCCTAGCATGTAGCTTCTGGCACCCACCCTGCTCCTCGCTGCCCTGGAGGCCAGGTAGTGGAGCAGGCGGGGCCTAGACCCGGGGTCCTCCCTGCCCCCTCCTCCCCGTGAGCCACTCGGGTCTCCCTGCTGCCCGGCTGCCCTGAGAGTGGGGGCTGTGTCCTGGGGGTGGGGAGAGCGCCGTGGACAGGGGTTATGGGGTGACCCCCCAGGAGTGGACCACAGTACCCTGGTTCCCCCCGACCCGGTTCTGAGGAATGCTGGGCACAGTGTGAGCCCTCCGCCCCATCCCCGTCTGAATCACCCCCTTCTCCTCCAGCAACAGCTGAACGACTCCTCCGTCATCATCAGCGCCCTCAAGTCCCACCTGGTGTCGGGGTAAGGCGCCCCTGGGGACGGGCTCCAGGGTCCAGGACGGCCCCCGAGGCCTGCACGGTAGCGGGTGGGGCTGCTGCTTCCGTGTCCCGAACGGTCAAGGGCGTCCTGCTCAGACTCCCCTTCCTCTCCTCCGCACACCTCCCCATCAGGGAAGTTCCTATTGTCTGCCCCATCCCCCATCCCCTGGGCTGCACTTCTAAGGGTGGGTTCTGCCCCCCCCCCCCCAGGGCTGGGCCAGGCGGGGGCAGGGGGTGAGGGTGGAGTGACCCTGAGGAGGCGGGCGGGGTCTCGGGCGGAGGAAGGAGTTGGGGTGAGACTCTGGATGTACCCCGAAGGCAGCCCCTGGATGTCATCGTCACCTACTATCCACCCATGAAGGCCACCAACGACCAGGGCAAGGAGGTGACCGAGTTCTGCAACAAGTACTGGCTCATGCTGGACGAGAAGGAGGCCCAGAAAGTGTACGGCGGGAAGGAGGCCAGGACGTGAGTGGGGCTGGGCCAACGGGGAGGTGGGGAGGCGGGGGCCCCGGGGGAGGGGGTCTCCCCGGAGGGGACCAGGCTGGATGAGATGCTGTGCGGGGGCAGCAGCTTGGGAGGCCACAAGCTGGGCTGAGTCCCTGTAATAAGGTGACCAGACATCCCGGTTTTGGCGGGACAGTCACGATTTTTTTTTTTTTTATGACTTTTAAAAAATATTTTTATTGATTTTTCACAGAGAGGAAGGGAGAGGGATAGAGAGCTAGAAACATCGATGAGAGAGAAACATCGACCAGCTGCTTCCTGCACACCCCCTAACGGGGATGTGCCCGCAACCGAGGTACATGCCCTTGACCGGAATCGAACCCGGGACCTTTCAGTCCGCAGGCCGACGCTCTATCCACTGAGCCACACCGGTTTCGGCACAGTCCCGATTTTTAACAATCTACCTTACTCTATAAGGACCCGCTGCTTAGGCCTCAGCTCCCGTTACACACTGGGGGCCAGATAGTGGGTCTGGGGCCCCCCCTCCCTCCCAGCTCCGGCTCAGGGAGCCCCCTGGCAGCCCGTCCCCCGCTCGCCCGCAGGGAGGAGATGAAATGGCGGCAGTGGGCGGACGACTGGCTGGTGCACCTCATCTCCCCCAACGTGTACCGTACGCCCGCCGAGGCCCTGGCCTCCTTCGACTACATCGTCCGGGAGGGCAGGTTCGGGGCGGTGGAGGGCGCCATGGCCAAGTACGTGGGCGCCGCCGCCATGTACTTCATCAGCAAGCGACTCAAGAGCAGGTGAGGGGGCGGGCGCGGGTGCGGGCCTTCCCATCGGCCTCCCCGGGCCGGCGGAGCCTCCTGATGGGCCGCCCTCCCCCCCAGGCACCACCTTCAGGATGACGTGCGGGAGGACCTGTACGAGGCCGCCAACAAGTGGGTGGCCGCTGTGGGCAGAGACCGGCCCTTCATGGGGGGCCAGAAGCCCAACCTGGCGGACCTGGTGAGTGTGGGGGGGGGGGTGCCCAGGCCGAGGGCGCGGTCTCTGGGCTGGGGCAGCCCGGCAGAGGGAGCGCAGGTGGAGGCCATACTCACGCCAGAGGTAGCTGGGCGCCGGTGAGCAGGGGCTTCGGGAGAACCAGCTACACGGAGCTGCCTTGGTTCTCACACGGACACGTTCAACGGAGGGGCTGGCTTCAGGCCTGGCTGGATCCAGGGTCCCAGGGGTATCGCCGGGCTCAGGGCCCTGTAGCGCTCCAACCCCGTGGAGTTGACCTCAGCCCAAGGCCAGCCGTGGTCCAGGCCCAGGCTCCCCAGCAAACGTCCTGGCTGCCACGTCCATGGCTGAGCTCCCTGTAGCCGGCGCCCTCCCCACACTGATGGCAGCCCCGCGCTGTGGGGAGGTCTCGGGATCTGAGAGCGGGGTGTGTGTGTGTGAGGGGGCGGGAGAGGCGTTTTCACAAAGGAAACTCCGGGTGGGGGGGGGGGGTGTTACCCCAAAACGGGGTGTGTGTAGGGGGCAGAATCTGCAGTCACCCCTGCCTCGTTCAAAGCCCCGTTCAAAGCCCCAGGGCAAAGGAGCCCCTGGGGGGATGTGGAGCTGGGGGGGGGGCGGGCCCAGGGCCCAGCTGGCGGGGGCGGGTCTGGACGCCCTCTGCGCCCCCAGGCGGTGTACGGCGTGCTGCGCGTGATGGAGGGCCTGGAGGCCTTTGACGACCTCATGCGGCACACCCGCATCCGGCCCTGGTACCAGCGGGTGGAGAAGGCCATCGCCGACGAGGCGCTGCAGTGAGGGCCGGGAGGAACCGGGAGGAACGGAGACCCGGAGACGCCGCTGCCGCTGCCGCAATGGGCCCTGAGCCGCACCGGCCCTGAGCCGCACCGGGCCCTGAGCCGGCACCGGCCACGCTACCTCCCCCCCACAGCGTTCTGTGCCTGACGCCGGGCACCGGCCTGGGCCGCTGGGACACAGCCCCGAGGGGCACAGGGCTGCCTCCCTCCTCCGGCCCGGCTCTCGGTGGCTCCCTGCCTGACCCTGTGGGTGGGAACGGGCTGGGCCCCGCCCTGGGCAAGGGAAGTGGGAGCATCCCGGCTGGGGAGAGCCCCATCCCTGGCTCCTCGGTTCCTGCTCCTCCTGAGCATCCCCGCTCCCCTCCTCCCCACCCCCACACTCGGTCTGTTTGAAATAAAAAGATTCTGCCGTGAGGCCGCGCCCAGCCCTGTCTGTCCAGTGTTACTAAGCGTCAGGCCTGGGGTGAGAGGCTCAGTGGCTTCGTGTCACATGGTCCCTGGGACACCAGGGGGAGCTCAGAGGTGGCCCAGCGCGTGGTCTCTGAGACACTGACTCTGGGGGGTGGTGCCGCTCTCTGTGCCTCAGTTTCCTCATCGGTTAAATGGGCAAGATGTCCTCTTGTCCATGATAGCGTGGCCAGGGAAGGGTCACCACACAACCCACCTGTGCTCCCAACCCGTCTGCTCCTGCTCTGCCCAGCGACTATGTTTCCCAGCGTGGCTGCCCCTGGAGGCCCAGTCCCACCAAGGAGGCCCGGGGGGGGGGGGGGGGGCGGCTGGGTCCCTGCTCCCAGACTTCTCCCTTCGTCCGTTTCCGTGTATCACAGATGCTCTGCCGGCTCCCCATCTCACAGGGGAGGTTCGGGCTGGTGGCTAAGCCATGCAGGGACCGGGGCCTGATGAGAGCTTTTCCCCTGGGGCTGCCGCAGGCACAGGGGACAGGCCTGGGTCACCCTCACACCCGCCTGAATAGTCACCTTGGTGAAGTCTCAGGACTGTGCTGGCTAGTCCCCCTCCCTGTGCCTGGGGCTGGAGACTGGCTAGTCAACCCAAGGCCACCACGTGGCGCCAACTCAGCGGAGCTTCTTTCACCAAGTGTCCTGCCCTCCACCCGCCACAACTCTGCCTCAATTTCCCTGTGCTCCTAGGCCTGGCGCCCTGGGCATGTTTTCCCATAGCCACCAGAGGGCGGTAGAGGCTGCGAAGTCCAGTAGGGAGCTAGAAACAAAGGTCTGGTGCTGCCATCTTGAGGTCAACTCTTGCATTGCACCTTCGCGGGGCAATTTTTATTATTTAGGAACTTTTTTTCTTTTATTCATCAGTTTATTCTAAGTTAATTTTTTTTTACTTGAAAATTATTCTAAGTTAATTTTTCTTGACTTGAAGTATTTTATTTTTTAGCAGTTTATTTTAATTTTTTATTAAATTATCTTTTTATATATATATATATATATTTTATTGATTTTGTACAGAGAGGAAGAGAGATAGAGAGAAACATCGATGAGAGAGAGTAATCAATCAGCTGCCTCTTGCACACCCCCTACTGGGGATATGCCCACAACCAAGGTACATGCCCTTGACCAGAATTGAACCCGGGACCCTTCAGTCCTTGTGTTGATGCTTTAACCACCGTGTCAAACCAGCTAGTGCCATATTTACTATTTTATATGTGATATATATATACTTACATATCTAACAGTTAAATTTGGTGGCAAGCACTGTTTGAAGCTCTTCACACATATTACCTCACTTAATTCTTACACCATCCTGTGCAGCAGGCACAGATATCTTACAGGTGGGGAGACTGAGGCATCAGAAAGGCTCAGGGAGTTCCCTGGAATCACACAGCAAGTGGCAGAGGGAGGCTGGGAGCCTGACCTGGCTCCAGAGACACCTTCCGGTGTCACAGAGAAGTCTTTCTTTTCTTTTTTACGATATATTTTTATTGATTTCAGAAAGGGGGAGAGAGAGAGAGGAAACCATCAATGATGAGAGAGAATCATCGCTGGGCTGCCTCCTGCACCTGCCTGGGAATTGAACTATGACCTCCTGGTTCTTGGGTTGATGCTCAACCCCTGAGCCACACCAGCCAGGCAGTTTTTCTTTATTTTAAATAAAAATTCAGCTGACACGGTAGCTCCTCAACGGTTAACCTATTTCAGCTTGGCCGCTGTTCTCCCTCATCATTCTTGATGACGGTGTGGAATTCCACCACCCGGTGTTCCATTGCTGACTGTTCCCTGGTTAATTTGACCAGCCGGGCGGGAAGGGTTTTGCGGGGCAGAAGGGTCTGGAAGGGAGCAGGAGCTGTGGCCTGAATAATGTCCCCCAAACCATCCAGGGCCTACCCCTGCAGCCTGTGCAGTTACCTCGTGTGTAAGGTGACCAGACGTCCGATTTTTAACCATTTGTCCCGCGTCCTGCGGTGTTTTAAAAAAGTTTTGTCCCAAAAATCGGGACTTTTTAAAAACGCCGAGGGACAAATGGTTAAAAATCAGGATGTCTGGTCACCTTACTCATGTGGCAAAAGGGAATTTGTAGATGGAGTTAAATTCACGATCCTCAAAGGTACCCACAGGCGTCCTCAGAAGGAGGAGCCTTGGCTGCGGGAGCGAGAGGCGGGGTCCTGGGAGAAGGGACACCAGGCCCCCCAGAAACAGAGAGGCAGGAACGGGGTTCCCCTTGGAGAGAAGCAAGGCTCCAGCAAGGACCGCCCCGGACACCTGGCTTTCGGCCGGGGACACTGATGATGGACAGCTGGCCTCTAGCTCCGTAAGAGGGCACATCTGTGCGTTTTAAGACTACGTTTGTGGTGATTGCGGCAGCTCCCCCTCTCCTCAGCCCCACAGCTGCAGCGGGAGACCAGCTCCTCCCGGGCCACAGGGGCTGCGCTGTGGGGACAGCAAATGGCCAAAGTGGCCGTCCTCTGTGGCCACTGCCTGGCGGAGAGCCAAGAGCAGGAGGCCTGGGCTCTCTTGCTCTCTTGGGGCCTGGGACAGGCCTCTGGCTCTCGCTCGCCTCAGATTCCCCATTCTCCGTTCCTCCCTGCCCTACTGCATCCCCCCGCCCCCCTCCCCGATTCTGCACTGCATCACCCCTGCCCCCCTCTTCTGCCGGCCCTCCCCATCCAGCCCTGCCCGCCTCTGAGCTGCTGTGCCTGGGCCTCACTGTTCTGCTCCAGCTTCCTTGTCCGCCCCGGAGGCCCGGGGGCAAGGTCCACGCCGGCTGCTGGGCCAGCTCCCGCTGCCGGTCCTCTCACCCTTCCCCTACATTCCAGCCCATCGGCCGGTGCGATGGGGCAGCCCGCCCAAGCGGAGGGTGAGAACACGGCCTCGGAGTCAGCAGGGCTGGTTTGACTCAGCTCAGCATTTACCTGCGGGACCCCCACCGAGGAGTCAGTCCTTCCCTCCAGCTGTAAGGAAGGCCGGGCCCTCTGCTCGTGAGGAGACGGAGGCTCAGAGCGCATGAGATCTGCCCCAGATCCCCGCCCCGGCGCCAGCACGGACAGTGCAGGCTGCCCCAGTTCTCTGCAGCCCCTGGCACGGGAGAGCAGCCAGGGCCCAGGGCCCTCAGGAAAGGTCCCCAGAGGTGGATCATGGCACCGCCCCAGCCCCTGTGCAGCCCCCTGCCTTCACTCCCGGGCAGCACACGGGTGGATGGACGTGGAATTTCTAGGCGGAATTACCTCCTAGAATAAGGTGGCCACACGTCCCGCTTTAAACAAAATCGGGACTGTCCCGCCCAAAGCCAGACATCTGGCCACCTTATCCTGGAACTGCCCAGGGCTAACCCAGCTGGTGCTCCATAAATGTCATTCCCAGGAATTGGAGGTGACCTTTCACCTCTGGCTTCGGAAGGAGGCTGACGTGGCTCCCCCACCCCCAGCCGCCCCACGCCTGGCCTTCCTTTGGGATGCCAGAGCTCCGGAATGCAAGGCATTTCGGTGGAAATGACTGTGTGCGCCTGGAATCCGGGATGGGAGGGAGTGGGGATGGAACTGCTCATTAGGACCAGACTTTTCCACTCAGTCTCCGACTCTCCAGCAGGGAGGTCAGACCTGCCAAGACTCCTCGGCTCGGCTCCAGGTGCAGCGTTCCTGGTCCTGGCCTTTTCCAGCCCTTGTGGCCCCGCCTCCCTCTTCAGAGCCAGCGGCTGGACAGAGTCCTGGCATCGCCCCTGCCTCTCCCGCCCCCGCGGGCCACTCAGGTCACCCCCTGGTGTAAGGTCAGCTGATGAGCAGCCTTGACCCCGTGGCCATGTCCCCTGATTCCCTGGGAGGCCCTGGGTGGGGGCGTGAGTCTGCCCGCCACACACACCTGGGTGGGTTTCCGTCAGCCAGTCACTAACTGCTCGTTAAGCACCAGTGGGTGCCCAGCACCTGCGGGACAGTGGTGAACAAAGCCAACACCCAGCTCCACGGAGGAAGCAGCTAAGCCAGGGAGTGAGAGCCAGCAGCAGCAGCAGCGTTGGTGGTGGACAGCGAGGGAGAAGCTAGAAGGACATGGGGCTGGGTTGGGGGGGAGGGGACTGGTTACCATTTAAAACATTGTTTTTGAGTATTATTTTTGTTTGTTCTTTTATTTTTATTATTTCTTTTTTAGAGAGGAAGGGAAAGGGAGAGAAACATTGATCAGCTGTCTTCTGCACACCTCCTACTGGGGATGCAGCCTGAAACCCAGGAACGTGACCTGACTGGGAATCAAACTATGCGAACCATGGCTTCCTGGTTCATAGGCTCAATCACTGAGCCACACCGGCAGGGCCAAAAGTTTATTTTATTATTGTTTTTTATTTTTAAAAAAATATGGAATACTTCACGAATTTGCGTCATCCTTGCGCAGGGGCCATGCTAACCTTCTGTGTATCTTTAATTTTTAGTTTCGGTGCTGCCGAAGGGAAGCGAGCACCAAGAGGTGACCATTGTAAACGGGGCTGAGGGAAGGCTTGGTGAGAAGGTGAGGAGAGACTGGAGCGAAGGAGGGATGAGGGAGACGCCTGGAGGCAGGCAGGCGTGGGGGCGCTCAGAGCTTTGGCCGTATCAGAGCACCTGCCAAGGTTAGCTCTGAGCTTGAGACAACGGAGGTAGCAGGTTGGAGGGGTGGGGCACCAATTAGCCAAATGACTTATGTCTGTGACCCTGACAGCAGCTGAGGCCAATGGCTGTCAGTCTCCTGGGCCTCCCAGCTCACCACAACGCCGGGCTAAAACAGGGAGCCCTCCTCAGTCTGGGGCTGCTGTCTGAAATGGGGGTGTCGGCAGACCGGAGCCACAGCACGCGATCCTTCTGAAGATGCACCTCCGCCTTCTACCTCTGTGGCCACGTGTTCTCGGTCTCCCTGTCTGTGAATTCCCCTCTCTGGACACCATCATTGGTTTAGGGCCCGCCCTAGTAAGGTATGACCTCATCTTACCCGGGATACATTCGCAAAACCTTACTTCCAAATAAAGCAACATTCCGAGGTTCCCAGTGGACACCGATTGGGAAACAGATGCTAAATCAAGGAGGGCAGGACACACTATTCAACCCCAGGCGAAGGCTGTGTGCCAGTTCACTCTGGCACACTTCTGTGCCTCCCACAGCCTCTTGCCACTGTCCCCGACCCAGGGCCCCAGGACTGCTGGGATCAGAGCGTGGACCATTACTTAATGAACATTTTTAAAAAATATATATTTTATTGATTTTTTAGAGAGGAAGGGGGAAGGATAGAGAGCTAGAAACATCGATCAGAGAGAATCATGCCCTTAACTGGAATCAAACCCGGGACCTTTCAGTCCACTGAGCCAAACCGGTTTCGGTTTTAATGAACATTTTATTGAGTACTTTGTGCATCGGGCCGGCTCTGAGGGCTGCAAATATGACCCTGCCCCAGCGGCCTCATCCTCTCATGGGGTGACAGGCAGAGAGCAAATAAAGTGGGTGGGGCCCTCCCACATCTCCAAGCAGGAGGAGGGCAGGAACCAACTGGGGGGCTAGGGAGGGACAGCCAGTGAGGGGGGCTGTGGTGGCCAGTGCCGCTTTACAGAGAGGGTCCGCCAGTGGACCTCAGAGCACCCTAAATCCAATGAGCACCCATTGTAAAGGAGGAGCATCAATTTTATGCGAGGGGGGGAGTAGATTTGTTTTTTTAAAATTTGTTTTAAAAAATATATATTTTATTGATTTTTTACAGAGAGGAAGAGAGGGATAGAGAGCTAGAAACATCGATGAAAGAGAATTATCGATCAGCTGCCTCCTGCACACCCTCTACTGGGGACGTGCCTGCAACCAAGGTATGTGCCCTTGACGGGAATCGAACCTGGGACCCTCCAGTCCGCAGGCAGACACTCTATCCACTGAGCCAAACCGGTTTCCGCTTGTTTTTGTTTTTTTAAATGGTGAAAAAATTGGGCTCATTTTCTAACATGGAACACCCCCACACCACCCAAGCCCAGATCAGAAAAATGCTTGCTCACTGGCTTTCAAACAACTTTATTAGGCTGTTTTAATGACAACTCCCAATTCTTAATTTGCTTCTTCACAAATTCCAGTTAGAACTATGTTCACACATGACAATAATTTTGCATTGATCCTTGCACCCCATCTACTGTCCGTCGGGCCATTCTGGCAGAATGAAAAGTGCAACTTGAGGCTGCGGGTTGACCAGCAGCACTACTGAGCGGAGGCAGGGGGGCGGGGGCGGGGCTGCGGGGTGGGCGCTGGCCGCCCCCTCCTCTAGCCCCGCCCCAGACTCACAGTGATAGGCACCGCTGCCTTGTCACTCAGGAAGGGTGAAACGGACCCTCCTGGTGCGAAAAAGGGATCAGACTTCCATCTTCAGCGGAACTGAGGTTTCTCCCGCTCTTCCCACCCCCCTGCGAACCCTCAGGTCCTGAGGCGCTGCCCCCACCTGCCAAGGACACCCATCTGGACCAGGGCCCCCCTCTGTTCTGTCCTCGGGCAGATGTGACCCCATGTGGGCAGTGGCAGGAAGGCCACTCCCACTGTCTCTCCTCACCCCACCTCTTGGGTGTGGGAAGGTACAATCAACCATGAACATAAATATGAATAAAAAATGAACTTGAAAATGACAGGTTATTAATTAAACAAATCTATAAAAATAGTTAGGACATAACTCTGTTCAAATAAATACGAAATAAATAGGCTCCAAGCAGTGACACGTGGCATCAGTGGAATGTGAGGCTGGTCCTGCTTGGCCCAGCTGGGATCAGATCTGACCCCGGGGTGTCAGGAACAGACGTTAATGCAGTCAGCCAAGCTCTCCGCTCGGTCTGTCTTCCCTCTGGAAGCTCAGGACTTCACACTGTCCATTTGTCCTTCTGAACAAAACCCTTTTCTCAAAAAACCCAATTAAGGCCCCAACCCCTTTCCTTCTCAGGGCACACGGACCCGGGGCAGAAACTGGCCTTCCCGTTACACCACACCCCCTGCCTCATGCCAGAGCAGGGCCAGGGAGCTGGATCTGAGCTGGTGCCAGTCCCGACGGAGCCTAGTGCCAGCTCAGGCACCAGGAAGCCCCAGCAGCACAGGGCAGAGGCCTCCGGGCTCCGGGAAAGCCATGCGCCCGGTGCCAGGCAGCCAACGGCCGGGCTGGGCCTGGCCTGCATGCATCGGTGCCCCTCTGCGGTGAGCGCAGATGAGGGTGGGCACTCTCCCAGGCTCCTCCTTTCCCTGCACAACCTCGCCAGGGCCATGCTGCGCGCTGGGAAGCCAGGGGTGAGGTCAGGAGGAAGCACCTTTCCCCGCAGCCTGAGGGGAGGAGCAAGCAGGCATGGGAGTGGGCTGGTGGCCCTCCTACCATATTCAAACAGCAGTGAGGAGGCAGCAAAGTGGGCACAGGGCAGATGCCCAGCAGGCCAGAGGGCAGGGGCCCGGGGCCATGGTCTGGCGGGAAGAAGAGATGGAAGACCTGAGCGGCCTCCAAGCCCTGCTGCCTGGCAGACACTACAGGAAAGTCCGGTCTCTCCTGCGCATCAGCCCGAGTCCTGCTGGTCAGCAGGACAGACCTGGTGGGCTTGCCAGCTCCCCACCCCCATCCCTGCGCTGCACCCAGGTTTCACAGCTTGGCTTCCGTCAGCGTAGTGTCGGCACATTCACAGAATGAGATGCTGCACATCCTGGGCCGAGCCCAGGATCGGAGTCCACGGCGGGCTGCCCTCCCGTCACCGGGACTGCACGCCCAGCGTGATCTTCAGGTTCTCGTACACCACGTAGCTGATGCTCACGGCCGGGATCACCTTCATGAAGTTGGGGGCCAGCCCCCGGTACAGGCCGAAGGCGCCCTCGGTCTGCAGGATCTGCTTGAAGAGGCTGCTCATGGTCACCTGGGGGGCGCCCTCGATGGAGGCTGCAGGAGTGAGAGAGGTCGTCCGTCAGGCCTTTCGCCAGCTCCTCCCTGGATCCCAGCCTGCCCGGGGGAAGGGCGCCCGGGGACCGGCCTTGGACCAGCCTTACCTTGGGCCTGCATCCGGGTCCTGACCAGGGCCAGAGGATAGCTGGCCAGCTGGCCACAGGTGCTGGACATGGTGCCACAGGCCAGGAGCACAAACACCCCTGGGTCTGCGCTGTTCACTGCGTAGCGCTGCAGCCAGGCGTTCTTGAGTGTCTGCAAGGGGTAGGGCGCAGGGGTGAGCCGAAGAGCCAGCAAGCCCCGGCCAGAGTGAGGGGGGGAGGGTGACACAACGCTATTGGATCCCATCACATGCGTCTGGGAGGCCAGTCCCCCGATTCGCTTGGCCTGGGCTGGCTGAGCGCCTGGCCCGCCTGCCTTTGCTTCCACTGTCCCTGCAGATCTGGGTCAGACAGGAGTGGGGATGAGGCAGAGGCAGCACTGCCTCGCCCAGAGAAGCTGACTTGTGTCGCCTGGAGTGCTGGTGCCCTGGGACCTGCCAGGGGACCCTCGCAGTGAGTCTGCGTGGACGAGACACTTTGTGCTGTTCCTGTCCTACCACCCCCAGCGGCTGTCAGGCCTGGAGACAACAGGCGGGGACGGGTGAAGAGGGGGTTTCTGGATCTTTCTGCCAGTCTCAGGGCCTGAGCCCTGCGCCTCACCTCGTAGACAGCCAGGTCTATGCCCGCGTAGGGGATGATGCCCAGCATGTTGGGGACGTAGCCTTTGTAGAAGGCGGCCATGCCCTCTCTGGCCAGGATCTTCCTGGCGCAGTCCAGCATGCCCGAGTACTGGCCTGTCTTGCGCAGGGCCATCCGGGTCTTCAGAACCTGCAGAACCAACAGAAGCGACAGAAGCATGAGCACGGCCCGCCCCTCAGCCTCATCCCCACCGCCCACCCCACTGCACCTTGTCCGCCCAGGACCAGGGCCCTCACCTCCATCGGGTAGATGCTGCTCTGAGCGATGGCGCCTGCCAAGGACCCCGCCACAAGCCGCTCGTGGATCCTCAGAGCCTCCTGGTCACTCCCAACGAGACGCTTGATCTACAACAGGGAGCAACAAGCTGATACCCCGAGACCAGGGCACCTCGTCCCGCCCCCTCCTCCCGGGGCCAGTCAGGCTTAGCCGAGACTCGGCCAGACCCAGGCCTCTCCTTCCCACCCACCCCGCTGTCCCTCGCCATGGACAATGCTATCGGGGGCCGGGTCCTCACCTGCTCATAGGCCATGAACTTGATGGCCGATTCGGGGGCGATTTTGATGACGTTGATGCCGTTGCCCCGCCAGAGTGACCTGGCCCCCCCCTCTCGGATCATCTGGGTGAAGCCGCCCACGATGCACATGTTGTTGGTGCGGGAGGCGTGGACCTGAGGAGGGAGGACGGGGTCAGAGAACTCAGCCTTTTCTCCACGGCCAGCGTCACGGTGGGCAAGAGGGCTCTTTCCCCTCGGGTGCTGAAGACTGACTCGGCACTGCGAGAATCAAACGCAGCCATTCGAGGCCCAGCTGGTCTCCCCACGCACCTACTGTGTGCCAGCACTGAGCTCAGCACCTCCAAGGACCACTTTTTAACATTTAAAAAACTCAACTGCCCTGGCCGGGCACCAAAAGGGTGCAGGTTCAATCCCTGGTTGGGGAGCATAGGAAAGGCAACCATTGATGTTTCTCACATTGATGTTCTCTTCAGTCTCTCACTCTTCCACTCTCGCTAAGAGCAATAAAAACATCCTTAAGTAAGAATTAAAAAAAAAAAAGATCGAGCTTGAGCTTTTTATTATGGAAAAATTTCAAATATGTACAACAGTCCAGAGCATTATATAATGAGCTCCATGAACCGTGACCAGCTTCCACACGCATGAAAACACAACCATGTTCCCCACGCTGCCCCACCCGCTGGGTTGCTCTAAGGCACCCGGCAGGACTGGGTCATTGCAGCCGAGTGAAATGCTTTCCATGTCTAAGCGCCCCCGGGGGTTCTGAAGGATTCTGCCGAGGAAGGCAGAGTGTCCCAGGCTCCTCGGCTCAGAGCAATGCAGTCCTGGCCAAGGGACTTGCCCGGGGTCGCACAGCTCTAGGCCCAGATGGGGTCAGATCCAGGCCTGGAGCTCTTCTCCCGGAACCACTCCACTTCCCTGTTTCACCACAAGGAGGAGGGGTCGCAGGATTCATCAACGCAGGCAGGCCCGGGAGGGCTAAGGGGGAGGGAGAGGATGACGTCTGTTCTGAGCAGGAAGGTGCCAGAACAAACAAGGGACAGGAAGCGACTGGCCGCTGCTCCGAAGATGCTAAAGTCCAACAGCGAGTGCCTGTGAGCTGGTGGAACCCTGCCCCTGGCGCTGGTCTGGCTTATCTCCGTCCCCTGGGCATGGAGTCAGGGCTCTGGCCAGGACGATGGCGCCTGGGCCAGGTGAGCACCTGCTCACACCGTCCCCATGTGACACCTCCCCACAAGTGCTGCAGACAGGTTCCTGCCTCACCCCATCCTCACCAGCTTTCCCAGTGCACATTATGGCCCTGTAATGTGACCTGGCTAAGGGCCTCAGATAAAATTAGATCCGCTACGTGCACTGCCCAGGCCTGGATCTAATGTTGCCCTTGTCTGAGCAAGAATTCCAATCTAATTTATTGGGACAGAAAACATATGGGTGCAAAGCAGGGCCCCAGACCAGGGAGAGGAGGGAGGACCAACCCACCAGAGCAGCCCAGGGGCGGGCGGCAACCAGAGATCCGGGCCCATCTGCCTGCGTACCTGCATGAGCACCTTGAGTCTGTCCAGGGGGGCCGTGCAGGTTCTGGATACGGCCCCGGCCCCGCCTCCGGCCACGAGGTGTCGCCACCACATTCCCGTCTGCCTCTCCTCCACCGTGAACTCGTCGGGAACGGTCAGATTCTCACCCACATCGAAGATCTGCAGGGAAGACCAACGAAGGTCAACAAGCAGGCCTGGCGCTGTGGCCAAGCTGCCGGTGGCCGGCAGGTCCATAACCTCCATCGTGCGGAAGGGGCCACCAGGCGGGGAGATTGCCAAGGACTCTGGGTAGGAAGCTGATGCACCAGCCTGTCCCCTCCGCCTCCATGTGAAGGCGGCAGAGCTCTGTCCCTGTCTGTGGCCTTCGGGAGGCCCAGGTGGGCAATGTGAGAGCCCGGCTGGAGGGAAGCAGCTACAAACTCCTCTCGGCGGCCGCCAGGGAGCTCCGCAGAAGCGCTCACACAGGCATTTGCGCGAGGGTCGCCAGGCTGGCTGTGCTGACCCCATAAGTCAGGGGTGAAAATCCTCCTGCAACCTGATGCGTCATCAGATCGCACTGGCAGAACATTATGTAAGGCCTCAGCAAACACGGGGAGTGCAGTGCCTGCGCGTCACCCTCTCTTCTGGGTGGCATCCTGGCTGGCCAGACAGAGCCAGCTCCCCTTAGACCTGGCTGCAGGCCAGACCACAGGTCAGCAGTCCACGTAACTTCACCCAACAAAGATGCCAGGTGCCCCAGGGTGAAGCCTGGCCTGGCACCGCAGGAGACTGACCAGGAGGATGGCCTCGGCCTCCGCTCCAGAGCTGACAGCCTGGGTAAATCGCACTAAAATCGAGGGGGTGCTCAGCAGGGACCGCAGAGAGGGCGCATCCCCCATGAAGCCCGAGGGCAGGGAAGTCAGTGTGGCCACTACCAGTGCGGGTGTGAGTCTGTATGCTCAACCACAGCTCTGACGAGATGTAAGAGCAATGAGCGATGGTGGGGACGCATTCTTTTGTCCAGAGAGAAACAGCCCACAAGATGGGGCTGGGGGGGGGGGGGGGAGAGAAACCAACTGCTGTGCCATTTGTCCCTGCAGAGAGCCCACCCAGAAGGCTCCCATTGGCTTTGGGAGAGCAGTACCATCAGGGGAGGTGTCTGAAGTGGGACAGGCGGGCACTGCTGGCAAAGGAACCCTGTGCGTGGGGAATGGCCAGGCCATCCAGGAGGCAGGCGTGTGGGAAACGGAGGAGGCCAGTGGGGGGCTCTGTGGGGCTGGCAGAGGAGTGGACGGTCACGCTGCTGAAGGGGAGGCGAGTGAGACTCCCACCCCCATCCCCACCGCGGGGACAGACGGGAGAATCGGCCTCCGGGCTGCGGGCAGGGCTCACCGTGGAATGCTTCCAGTACAGGATGATCTCGGGGATGTTCTCCACGGGGTGCAGGAGGTGGTAGTCTCTCCACTCGTTCCAGTCGATGGTCATCGTGCCGTTCTTGTCCATGCTGCAGGGGGAGCGCACGGTTACCCAGTGTCAACACGGGCCCCGCTGTCAGCCGCACTTCCCTCTTCCAGGCGAGCCACAGGCCGGCGCCTGGCCACCGAGGACACCACGGAGGGCGCCTCTGCCCCGAGGAGGAGAGGCAAGGTGCCCCCATACTTCACATGGCACAGAAACGGGCTATAACGACCCACAGGAACCCCAGAGATCAGGCACAGAGGCTAAGGAGGGAGATACAGATACTTACTAGGTGACAGGGCCCCAGAAATGGCCCGTTCGAATTCTGACAGACAGACAAAGGAGGACGCAGAGGAGAGAGGAGAAACAAGACAGTAAGTGCTCTGAGCAGATGTCACCGAGGCAGACGCACAGCACAGCACAGCACCGGGATGCGCCCCACAGCAGCCGGGGAGCGGGTGCAGGGAGGGGGAGAGGCCCAGCCCGGAGGGGAAGTCTCCTAGGGCCCTTCTGTGCGGCTTCCCAGCCCAGCAGCAGCTCTGATCCCCCAGGACCACGGCTCACCTTCCACCCATCTTTCAGGCAGTACATCTGCCCATGGCGGTTAGCCCACCTTCAGTGGAGGGAGGGCTGCCACGTGAGCCCCTCCCCTTCCCACCAGGCAGAGAGGGCTGCTCCCTGCTCGCCTTTCACCTACTGGGTCCCCCTCCCCCACTAGTCTTTTTCTTCGGGGTCACTGAACAAGCTCACTTCGAGGTAATCAGGGATTCTTCAAGCGAAAGCGGACCTGCAAGCTGGTTACTCATTCACCCCTTCACACTCCCAAAGCCAAAGTTCAGAGGACAGGTCAGCAGTGAGTGCCGCCAGAGTCAGCCGGGGCGTCCCTTCGTCATGCTGAGTGTGAATGGGCCAAGGGCAGAGACCGGCCAGGCACTCACCTCTTGAGGATTTTCTCCGCCTGCTGCTCGGATATCTTGACCCCCAGGTCCCGCAGGGACTGCACGATCTCCTGAGAGTCGATCCGCCCTGCAACACAGAGGCCGTGAGCGGGGGCCAGGCCCACGGAGAGCCCAGGGCGGCCGGCCACCGGCTCCGGAGGCAGCGCTCACCATCATTCTTTTTGTCCAGACTCTTGAACACCAGCCTCAGCTTCTTCTCGTGATCTTGGAGATAATGGACGAACTCTTCAAAGTCTAGCTGCCCATCAAGGTCTTTGTCGCCAGCTTGCACAATTTTCTAGGAAACAAAAGTAAGGTTTGTCCTTTAGCTCACGCACTGGCTTGTCCCTCGCGACGCCCTGTCCCCAGGAAACAACTGCGCTAACCCATGAACTAACCGGAAACAACTGCGCTAACCCATGAACTAACCCAAGAGGCTTTCCAGGACCCAAGAATCCACCTTGAAACGAGAAAAAGGTACCCCCCCCCCCCACACACACACCATGAGGAGCCTCAGGCAGAGGCAGGCGTGGTGAGTTCTCATTCCAAGTGTCTTAAAGACCAACTTGCTGTACCGCAAGGTCAGCGGCTTGGCTCCCTGCAGCGCGTCCCCTGGCGCCAGGCCTCAGCCACATGCTCTGTGCCCAACTGGTGCTCCAGATTGCACCAGAACTCCGAGCTTGCTCTTTTTTTTTTTTTTTAAATATATTTTATTGATTTTTTACAGAGAGGAAGGGAGAGAGATAGAGAGCTAGAAACATCGATGAGAGAGAGAGTCATCAATCAGCTGCCTCCTGCACACCCCCCACCGGGGATGTGCCCGCAACCAATGTACATGTCCTTGATCGGAATCGAACCCGGGACCTTTCAGTCCGCAGACCGATGCTCTACCACTGAGCCAAACCGGCTTCGGTCGCAGCTTGCTCTTTTTTTAAAAATATATATATATATTATTGATTTTGTACAGAGAGGAAGGGAGAGAGATAGTTAGAAACATCGATGAGAGTCATCGATCAGCTGCCTCTTGCACACCCCCCACTGGGGATCCAAGGTACATGCCCTTGACCGGAATCGAACCCGGGACCCTTCAGTCCCCAAGCTGACGCTCTATCCATTGAGCCAAACCGGTCTCAGCGCAGCTTGCTCCTTTTATCCTCACAGTGGCATGTGGCCCAGGAACAAGTGAGGGGCCAGGGTGAAGGTAAGAGGCAGAGCTGGCCCCTGCCAATACCTACCTGACACAAATACAGCCAAGAGAATTCTGGAGGCTGGAGAAGCAGCAGAGCCCCAGGGAACTATTTTGGGGATCTGCTTGATGCCACGATCAGTGTCTGATCTCAGGGGAAACTGATGACATAACCAAGCCCAGCTCCCTCAACCAGGTACAGAACAAGAGCGCTACTTAGCTTCGTGACCCAAGAGGCTTGAAGAGACCCTGAGGTTCTAAGCCAGGGGTCCTGCTAAAAGCATCACCTCTAGTAACCTGCTGGATCCTCACACACAGCTCTAGGAAGGAGATACTATCATTGACTCCACTTTACAGAGAAGGAAAGAGAAGCTCAGAGAGGGTAAGTCATTTATCCTAGGTCACACAGCCAAGGAAGTGGTGGGCAGCATTCAGGTCAGGTTGGTTGGACTCCAAGGCCACCTCCCTAGAGATCCTGCTGCCACCTGAAGGTTAATCCCAAGAAGGTGGAGCACATATGAGTCACTCCAACCCAGCAACACCCCAAACCAGGAACAAAAATCTCCCAGGGAAAATGGTTACGTCTTCCTGTATTGCTCAATGCTCTCAGTGCAAGCATGTCAAACTCTCGACCCACAGGCCGCATGCCTCGCTTAATTGGCCCGTGTTAGCCTTTGAGTTTGACATGCTTGTCTTCACTATCCACAAACCAAAATGGGTTCCCAAGTCTTCTGACCAATGGGTTTGGAAGCTGACAGATCTCTGGCTAGCTGGCACTCTCCAAGGATTACAATCCGTCTCTGAAATCACCTGACAGCTCTCTGTGATTGCTCAGCCACCAAGGGTGCTAGGAGGAGGCCTGGGCAGATCCCAGGTCACCTAACAAGATCCCAAGAACAGCGCAGTGGGTGTGGCTGAAATGTGAAACCAATGCTGGTATTTTATCTACGATCTGAAGTTATGCTAACTTCCTGTAGACTTCTGTGCTCTCGGCCAAGAATTACGTATAGGACTGTCACTGTAGATTTATGGCAAGAGCGGAAATAGAATCTGCATAACCTACATGCCATTTAGGGAGGTGAACGGGAGGCGTGAAGCTCTCTGGTATCTGGCTGCTCTGCCACCACCGCAAACCATGTGCCTTATGGGGGTGGGTGCCCTGTGAGACAGGTGTGCCGAGCACAGCTGATTTCAAAATCATCTCCCACCTCAGAACCACCGGGCCTACTTTCTGCCTCCTTCCCCAACTGCTGCACACCATCCGACCTCCTCTGCCATCCTGAGTGCCAGGGGATGGCGTGGGACAGGATTAACAGAGAAGCTAGGGTACCTCTTTAGGAAGCAAGCAATCTCCACAGGGGAGAGCTGCTCCCCTCTATAAAAACGGTGATGGTTTCTGCTGCCTCCCTGCTCCGAAGGGACATCTGGCTTCCCTCCCCGCACACGTTGGCTTGTCCCACCCGGCACAGCCTGCAGCTGCAGCCCGGGTCTCCACTGAGGAGCCTCTGCCTCTCCCTCCTGTCCTCCTAGCCCTTCCCTCCAGCTCAGAGAAACCGCCCGGCAGCAGCTGGCCTGTACCTCCCTTCTCAGAGCCCCCCTTCCACCTCTCAGCAAGAAAATTCCTTGGCATTCCTCCCGCAGCGCCTTCCCGGGAAGTCAAGCCTTCCACGGAAGTCACGTGAGAACTAGTCATTCCTGTGAAGTAGCCTGGCTGTCCCCGCGGGACAACTCGCCCATTTCACGGGTGTCACCACTGCCAGCCCTCTCCACTCGCTCAGCCCACACTGCTGAAATGCCCGCTGCCTCTCCCGGCCTGGCCTGGCCGCTGACCCCGTACACACCTGCTTCCACTGGCGGAAGGTGGAGAACTCCTGGGACGGGATAAAGACACTGAGCTTGAAGATGGACTTGAGCTCAGAGGGAAGCCCCTTGGACTCGAAGTACTGGAACTCGGCCTGAGCCTCCCCGATGACCGGCACATACAGGCACAGGCAGAGCATGCTGACGGGAGCCGGGAGCCGGGAGCCGGGGCTCAGCTGCCACCGAGCGATCAGTCCTGGGCGAGAGCGGAGAATGCCGCCGCCGGCAAACGCGGCCAGATAAGCCGGCGCAGCTGTCATTGGCCGCTCAAGCCCCGCCCTCTGACCTCATTGGCAAGAGCCCGCCCACCGAGTCCTGCCAGCAGCCAATCAGCACAGAGGCCCGGATTGCACAAGAGGCGGCGGAAAGATCAGGACTGACGTCACCCGCGCACCCAGTTAACTCTTCCAAGACAGACGGAGTCCAAACAGACCTTCACCCTCAGGCTGCTGACCCTCCAAACGAGCAAACAGCCGTCGGCCTGTTTGTTCACAAGGTCCCCAAGCACGTCACACAGTGCAGTGATCCCCCCGTCAATCATTCCCAACAGAGAAAGTGGACAGAGATTAAATCAATGCTCGCTGACAGCGGGCCAGGGTGGCTGTGAGGGAAAGTGGGGTGCGGGGTGGCTGAGGTCCCCAGCCATCCGTGAAGTGGCCATACCCTGGGCTCATTCACCCGCAGGGGAGCTGCCCAGCTGGCTGAGCCCAGGAAGAGGCTGCCTTGGCTACAGGGCCATCTGGGCACAGCTCTGACCCGCTCCGGGGACCTTTCCCAGGCCACTCCGCCATGTGAGCACCTCAGAGCCCACCCCCCGCCCCCTGCGGGCTTCCCCAGGGGGACCCACAGCACTGCGTCGCTGACATGCTGGAAGAGGACACTCCAGGCTACAAGTTCGTTGTGCTAAGGGGCTCCTCAGCAACGTCCACCTGGGGTCAGCCAGGGCTCAGTGAAGACCACAGAGGTGGTCCTCAGAACCCAGCTTCACTCAGAACACATGACACGCTATGTCACTGCAGCTTTCTAACTGAGAACTGTGCTGTTCAGCATGGACGTTGCTAAACTTTAAATTAATTGAAATGAAATGAAAAATCCAGTTTCCTGGTGGCATAGCCACAGCTCAAGTATTCCACAGCTGCATGTGCTCAACTCAGCATGTCCACCGGCACAGAAAGTTCTGCTGGGTAACGCTGCTCTAGAATGCCCGTTGGGGGTGAGGATGAGAGAAAAACCTCAGGTCCTGGAAAGTCAAGATTTTATTTTTTATTTCAGGATGATCCTGTTCAGGCCAGCTGCAATCGCCACCTCACTGCTTCCCCACAGAGTCGGGGATTCGTGATGCGGAGGAAGAAGGCACGTCACAGCGATGAAAAGAAAGCTGGTCTCTGTTCCTGCTCAACGTGCCACTTCCTAATATAGCCCGAATCGCACTCCCAGGAGGGATAAAAACGGAGGACTATTATTTGGAGATCAACTGAAGTGAAAGGAATTTCTTAATTTACTAATGAGCTTTTTGTAAGGAACTTGGAAAATGGGTTTTAAAATAAGGTGTTGAAGCTTAGTACATAGTATTTTATTAACCGATTTTATTTTATTAACTCATATGACATTTCTGCCTTTCTAAGAGAGATCTGATGACGGTCTTGGGCTTCCATTCATTCAGAGGCAGCTCAGGGCTATCCAGACTCCCACTCGGATCCCATGACACTCAGCTGTCTCTGCAGCTGTCCAATCCAGAACGCTCTGCTTTGAGGTTATTTTTATCTCACTGTTGGGATCCTTAAAAGGCAGGAGGCTATTGTTTCACACATTTGTGCCTCCCAGTGGGAAGAAGCCCTAGCCCTGACCCTGGAAGGTGCTGGATAAAAGCAGTTCCTGAATGAATGAATGAATGAATGGGGCCTGGCAGGCCTCTAAGATCCACCTCAACAAAATAATGCATTCTTATTCTTATGTTAAAGGAGGTTCACATCTATAATATCAAAAGCGTAATATGCTAATTAGACTGGCTGTCCTTCCAGACTGGTGCCGCAGCCAGGGGAAGGAAGGCCTACCTACTCTTGCACGAACTTCAGCCTCTAGTTTATAAATAAAAGGGCTGAATTTCAAAATGCTGATGTTCCTTCGCTAATTTATTCACAGTTGCTTCTGAAACAAAAATAAATTACTCAGACCTGTTACTCAGTAATCATTTCAATGATGACTGCAGTTATTCGAAAATGGCAAATACTTTGACAATAATAAGCTGTCAA